TTGCTTGGTGTATTACTTGGTGTATTGCTTGGTGTATTGTTTGCTGTATTGCTTACTTTATTGCTTGCTGTATCAGAGGAGCAAGTTACAGCTACAGCTTGAGATGGAGATTAATCAGCTATAGTTATAGCTAGAGTATCACTGGAGCTAGTGTTACTATTACCAATCAACACTCACCAAACATACACACTCATCCATCAACCCTCACCCATTCCTCACACTCATCTGGAGCTGGAGCTGGAGCACACTAGTAGATATAAATATAGTTACATATAATTATAGAGCTAAGAATATAACTAAAGGTACAACTATGTGAAAAATAGAATTAGCTTGAGAAAATGATATAGTAGTAATTAACCAGTAGTTGATCTAGTACTGAAAGTACAACAACTACTAGTATTACTATTTCTGGTACTACTTCTGTTTTTCACATACTATTAGTAGTACTAACAATCTTTCAATTGATTAGCTAGTAGAGCTACAGCCTAAGCTACAGCCTCATCTGCATTTTTAGCAGCTACAGTCTCAGCAGCTACTACAGCCACTACAATAGCATGATACTACTTGTACTACTGTCATTGATTGTTGAGCTAGAGCTAGATGTAGATGTAGATGTAGATGTAGATGTAGCTGTTGATGTAGATGTAGATGTACTAGCTGTTGATGTAGATGTAACTGCAGATGTAGCTATAGATGTAGCTTCTTTATCTCTGGATGTAGCTCTAGCTCTATCTTTATCTTAATCTATAGATGTAGCTGTAGATGTAGCTCCTGTAGATGTAGGAGCTCCTGTAGATGTAGCTCCTGTAGATGTACTAGCTGTTGATGTAGATGTAGCTCCTGCTGTAGATGTAGTAGTACTACTAGCTCCTCCTGTAGATGTAGTAGCTGTTGATGTAGGAGATGTAGCTGTTGATGTAGCTGTTGATGTAGCTGTTGATGTAGCTGCTGTAGATGTAACTGTAGATGCAGCTCTAGTACTACTAGATGTAGCTCTACTAGGACCACACATGGAATATGAGTTTTCGATTTGATGCACACCCCTCTCAATTATGACCCCTGCGTACCGGTCTGTAAGGTTTCGGCTTGCTGTATGGTTCGTACGTACCAGTTAATTCGCAATAAAATTACCCCTAAAATTAACAATTTTTGACCCCTCACCACCTGTAACTTTCGCAGACTAGTCCTTAGCCTACATGGAATCCTTAAGCATCCCAATGACCTAGATCTTTAMGTAATTGTATCATCTTGGTCTGGGTGCTTAGTCCGGTGGTCTAAAGTTGTTTTTTGATGGAGCTCTGGCGTATTTTCTAACCAGTAGCCGGTCTCCAATGGCCAAATTTGGCCATACCTGCTGTTAATGGAGAACCGGGTCACCCTTGGCCCTTAATCATGTAACAATGACACACAGCACTCTTCTTAACACTATGACCGAGCATATCCCCAAAGGGGATCTCATTTGAGCCAGTTCTTGAGCACTTTTAATGGCCTCAATAACACTGTTTGTGGTCAAAAAGTGACCGAAAACTTGTAGATCTATGTAGGATCAGTACTAAATACTGGGCTTCAAAATTAACCGTGATTTTACTAGTAATAATTTTGGCGTTTGAGTAGAATGCCTTTTTTCTATGTAGGGCGTGGTAGGCTTTTTACGGTTAACGCACTTCATATCGAATTAACTGGTACCGACTTTTTAGTTGTTATAGTATTGCATACGGTAGGGCTTTTCTTTTTTCTTGACTCTCATACCGTACGATCCGGAACATTCTTTCGCACTGCGAGCCTCGTTCCACTGAATTTCCGACAAAGTTTCTCTTCTCGGTGGGTCTCGAAAGACAACGTAACGAATGGCCACCCGACTATTGAAACCCGCACAAATAACCCACACGAAGCACAATGAAACCCGCGAATGGAACCAAATGGCAATAATAGAAAAAATCTTATGGTTATAGCATGATATTTTTCAATCACTTCACTTTAAGGCAATAACAAATTCATGGGTTCAGATGGACACGAGTCCGATTAGAGTGGTCTTACTACTCGTACTACTCAATGCTTCCCAAGGAGTTTTTTTATGCCTTGCCCGACAAAAATTCAAAGTTCTGGAACCAGCCAGCTCGGAAGAAAATTGTCGAGTCTTTTTTGTCGCGATAAAGAAAATTCCAAGCTGTATGAAGTGCTATGAATTGGTTCTGTTCCGTTCGAAGAAAATTCCTTGAGAATCGGACCCTACCGAACCGTAGAACGAGACATAGTGTACCCCAACTGAAAAAAAAAACGCACAAAAGGCACGATCTCGTCTGAGCACTGTACGGTACGGTACCGTAGATACTCGTACTGTCACGCGTGATGTATGAAATGAATCGACGCATTTTCCAACTTTATCAATATTGATTTTAACCGTCTTTATCATTGACAATTTAAGCCTGACAACAAGAAAAGGCACCAGTCACCCCCTGCCAAACCCTCCCATAGAACTTACGGTAGAAAGCCACCAAAAGTGATACAAATCGCAAGACAAAACCACAATATTGTTTCGATAGGATTGTATCCGTGCGTATTTGGAGTGTCGCAACAGAATGACACCATGGCTGAGCAACAGCAGCAGATTGATGAAGCTATCTTGCGGATCTAGAACGCAATCGGACGGCAGGAGCAAAACAATAGAACCTTGTGCGGCCTCTTCTGTTTCCACGATACGGAGCTCTAACACCACCAGAGAACGTATCTTCCCACACAACAAAGAAAGGGACGCTTCCACACCCCGAAGGGAATCGTCGTTTCGGTCGAGATCCGCGGCCGACGCAAGGACAGGACGGTCCGCCTCGGTGACATCCATTCGATCGCGTTCCGGCTCCGCACGATCGCTGGCAAGGAACAGGAAACAGAAACCACAAGAGACCATGCGTTTCCCAAAACTCTCGGCAGTGCCGACACCCACCAAACGTTCGGCGGCAAAGAAAAAGAAAAAGAGCAGCAGCAGCTTCGACCTGCGCCAGTACTCGGCAGACTCCATCGGCTCCTACAACGCACACTATAGAATGGATCCGGGGGCTCGAGAGCTTCTCTCGAGTCGGGTCCGTGCCCGCGTCGAGGGCGACGAAGACAACGAAAACTCCCTGATTGCCTTTTGCGACAAGCGGATAAGAAAACGAAAAAAAAAGATACTAAAACTTCTGGAACAGCAGCGGCAAGAACAAGAACAAGAGCAAGAACACGAGCAAGGACAAGAACAAGAACAAGGACAAGAACAACAATTCGAAAAGCAGCTGCAGAGGGCCGCTCCAGAATGCATCAACGGGACGGACCTGCTGCTGGGCGCCTGCCTGGGACAGGGGAGTTTCTCGTCCGTCTTTGTCCTCGCGGAATACAACCGGAGGAGGACCAAAGGCGCCGGCACCGGCGTCGACGAGCGGCCCTCTTCGCTTCGCCGCCGGAAACACAAGCCAAACCCCCGTTGCAGCGACGTGGTTGAAAACAGTCGCCGGTCGACGAGCACGACCACCAGGCGTTCGAGATCGAGCCGGAGAATCGGCGGTTGCCTGCGTGTTTCCAAAGTGGAAAACGAAGCCGAACACGGAAGCGGCAGCGACAATTGCAACGACAACGGCAGCCATCGGACGGACAACTTGGCACCACCGGTCCCGGACGGCGATCACGATGGCCTCCGAGGCAGGAGCCGAACCAAAACCCCAGAGGATCCCGTCCGCTACCAAAACTATTGGGACGAGCCGAACGATCCCAGCAACATGGTTGTCAAGCTGTTGCAGCCCAAACTGATGGAAAAACCGAGACTTTTCGCAAACTGTGGTACGTACGGTAGCGTGAAACGGAAAGCGATGGAACCGAAGGGAGCCGAAGCGAGACGAAACCGAAAACGGAAACCAGAAGTTGGGCTGCATACAATTTTTGTCGCAAAAAACGAAACTCATGCTTGCCTCGCAAAACGTTTTGCTCTCTATCTGCTTCGCATTTTTTGGTGTACCCACACTTTTGAAAATTTCATCCATCCCGCATCCCACTTGCATTTTGGGTGCAATCGTTGGCTTGTTGACTTCGCTTTGGACACGATGCACAGCCGCGGGATTGATTCGGGAGGGCTTGTTTCTGGCCGCACTCTCTCACCCCCATATATTGAAGGTCCACGCATGGACCTCGCCCACAGGCTGGAACGACTTTGCGGCACTTTCCGGAAGGAACGGAAACCTTTACGATGGATACGTTTTGATCCTGGAACGCCTCCAGGGAGGAACCCTCAAACAATGGATAGAGCGCTGGAGCCGAGACCACCAAGAAGGGGAACAATGCTCCGAGAGAGCTGTTGCAGAACCTCGCGAGACCAGTAGTGCCCATGAGCCAAGGACGAGATGGCGGAGGAATCTGTTTCGAAGCACAGAAAGAAACAAGAGAAAATCCACGAACAAAAGCCAACACTCGCTTCCCGGAGACTCTATGGCACTGGTTTATAACTCAGGCAACGCCAATGTGATCGAAAACGATAGGAATGATAATGATATCGAGAACGGGAATCATTCGTATCCAAGCAATTGGCCAAAAACACAGCTTTCGGACCGTGTCGCCCTCCTCTTGCAGTTGTCCGATACCGTCAAGTACTTGCACAAGCATCGGATATTGCACCGTGATTTGAAACCCGACAATCTCGGCGTAACCTATGTTTATCGTCCGGTTGACAACAGTAGCAGTAGCAATCGAAGCAGAGGGAGATTCCCGCCGACGTCGTTGTCCCTAAAGATTTTTGACTTTGATGTTGCGCGTTTGGTTCCCAAAGAAAAAGAGCCAATCGATGAAGAAGCTGTAGATGGCTCCATAAACCGTTCCAGGAGTATCGATCGCGTTTCGAGCAGCAAGAAATCTGTGGGTTCGGATTGGAACTCGTCGCATTCGGTATCCTCGTCGTCTGAGGAACCAGTAAACGCACCGAAAGCAGAACAAGTATTCAACATGACGGGCAAGATGGGCTCACCGCGGTACATGGCACCGGAAATCGCACGAGGAGACCCTTACAATCTTCGAAGCGAGGTATATACGGTGGGCCTTCTAGTTCATGAAGTTCTCACTCTCCAAAGGCCCTTCGATGAACTCATACCAGAAGAGCACGCAAAGCTCGTTCATTCTGATATTCCTGGTTACCGACCACCAATTCGCGGTTCATGGGGTTGGCCCGAACAACTCCGGAAGATTCTTGAAAGTAGCTGGGGGGATATTCGTCAACGGCCAGATATGAAGGAACTCCATTCTGTGTTGAAGACTGCTCTTCCCGAGCTTTTGGCACCAACATCCAGTTCGGTGGCCACAGTCATTACAACTCCATCGTCGTTCCCCCCTTTACAACCCGAGCAGCAACCTAAATTGAAGGCTCGGGGTTTAATCCATCGGCAAAAAAAGAAAAGGAAGGGCGACACTGTTTTACATTCTCCCATGCATTTAGTGTCGCCGCTGCCGTCGCCAACCTCTTCGGAGTGAATGTGCGTCCACCTTATCAAAGACGATTGAAATAATGCCATTGTTATCACGATCTACTCACAGAACAAGTGTTAGATATGCCATGCCTCGAGAAAATAATTTTGACTGGGTGGTGAGTAAGTATATCCTCTAAAACTTTTAGTCCAAGAAATTTTTAATCACTGCTCACACGTAGTAAAATCAATGGCTTGATGGCCGAATACAACACGCTTGTTCAAGTGGGGACGAAACAACAAGTCATTCGTGGAAATTTGTGTTGTATGTTGTAACATTGGTGATTAATCGTGGCGAAGGATTCTTCCCTTCTGCGTTTTTTGGCGTCGAAGTAAATCTTTCCATTGCTGGGAATGTGCCACTTCCTCTCCCACTTTAGGTACAGTAAGGGCGGGTTCTGCTGTAAAAAGTGATGTCTTTCCACCCGATAAGCAAGTAGGCAAATAACTTGCTTTATGACAGTCCACCAACCAGCGACGGAACTCTTCTCTTTCAGAAATTGAGACATCTTTTGCTTTGTTCGCATTGTAAATTCTACCGGTTTGAAGCAGAGAAGAGTCTTTGAATGGACGAAGGAATCTTTCCAAAATAATACTATTACATAGCAGGGTGGGAAAGATACAAAATGCGATCACTAATCCTTCGTACACGTTTCCTTTCAGGAAAAAGCTAATTGACGTTATTATCTTTCAATTTGGAAGACAGAGACAAGCAATTCAAATGTCGTGAGGTTAGTTGCGAACGATAGAGGTGTCCATAATGTATTTTGGACTTACTTGGCCTAAAAGCAAAGAGGTCACAATAATGTGATGAATTTGCGGCCATTTGTCACCGCCCCCATCCCATCTTGGTCTGTACGCAAAAACCACCAACCACCGGAGCATTGGTGCTAGGATGACATAATACATGAGAGCGAATGGCCCAAGCAGAGGACACAGTGGCGCCAAGGATGTCATACATGCCAAAATGTATCCATGATCGACATAGATGCGATAAGGAATTTCCGCCGCAGGTCCACTAAAGGAAAAGTAATGGAGAAATATACAGTAGATATTTAGCAACCGGTTGATCTCGTGCGAAAGCAGCATGTGCAAAGGTAAATGAATCTTACCCTCCCTTGAGTAGGCGATTGATCCAACCAAGTCTGAAAATTGTGGTGAGATAGTTGTTCAACTGCAAGAAGTAAAGCAAAGGCCAAGAGATCGTTGAGATGAAAATCACGTATGACAACGCAAAAGGTCCCAACCTTTCGGGAACAGTTTTCGCTAAGTCAGAAAGCGCGCTCGTCACAACTTTTTCTACTGAACTAGTTTCTGCGGGCCATTTTGAGGTATCAGAGTAGGTTAGAACATGAAAAAATGATCGACAATATCGCGCTTTCAAAATAATAAAAATGTACGTACGGCCTTGAAGAAATTTAGTAATTGCCTCAAACAATATTTGTCCCATAAAACGAGCTATGAGGTAGAAATACCAGAAGAAAATCAGAGCTCTTTGCTCTGCTTTCTGCATGCTACTTGCCGACCCTTCACAAGATGCAACGAATCTGAAAATCATTGGGCAAACACTGAAGAGCAGAGCCTGCGTAAGACCCGAAACAGAAGGAGCATACTTTTGATAGAGTTCTGGACTTATACCAAACCTTCCGACGATCACTTTTTCGTTCATTATTAAACTGTTGATTTTATTGATAGGCCAGACATAAAAACTCGTAAACAACACCAAGAAAGTGCAAATTCTACAAAAGCGAGAATGTGAGAACGAATGCAGATTAAAAAACTCACGCCAACCGAAGGCAGTTTGTCAACTACTCACATCCCACGACGAATCTTCTTCGACGTAAACTTTACAGGAATTGAATATAAACATGGAGATGCGATGACGTCGTGAGTTAAGGCGTAAGAGAAATCAATTTGCTGAAGAACAGGTTAAAGTAAACTACCGTACAGATATAGTAGGAGTAACTGGTCGCCTGCGGATAATACACGATGAAACAAAAAATGTGGTGTGAGAAAACATCATGCGGCCAGAAAAGACCAGTGCAATTCAATCGACGGATAATATGCACAAAACTCTATACCTACATGCAGCCTCGAGGGAAACACATCATCGCTGGTGCGTCGGCAAGAGGATATATAGGGATGTCGTCGATTTGCCTCCAACTGTTCGTGGCCCCACCATCTGCCAAGCATTGTCGGGCAATGACTGCTGAGTGGCGAGATGTGAATGTAACTACTGCGTATGCAGGATGCTCGACGTCTGTCTTGTATGCTACATTCCCTCTACTGTGATCTTCCACACCATAATACTCCAGAGAAGGGGCTGCATCATCGATTCCGAAATACACTCGTTTCATGTGGAAAATAACTTTTTGCACCATTCCGGTTGGCGCGGTCTTTGCTTCTGTACTCGGAAGCATCGCCTGGAGCTCGTGTTTCGAAAGACCCAACTGGTTTGAGTCGTTGAGGGACAGTCCAAACTTTGGCACTGATTCGTGCTCCATTTCTATGTTCTCTCCACTTCCCACAGTAATAATTGCGTTGTATTCATCCGAATCCAACTTCACATCGTCTTCCACATTCACAACATCGAGCCGTGCTTCCAACAATTCCTCATGCGCTTTCCTAAGGGCTTCCTTCGCATCTGCTTCCTCGGCCTCCAACTTCTCGATGCTACAAATATTGACCAATTTCTTTTTCAACCCGGGTCCACCAGCCATGAGTGCACACATGTATGCAAATACGCTGAATTCTTCGACACCCATTCCTTCCACAAAGTCCGTCATATAGTCTACTTCGGCAATGAATCCAAGCGACTTTGCATATTTTGCGATGTCGAAATCGTCGTACCGGAACCGTGCTAGCTTCTGCTCCCTCGCAGGGTTTTGAACCAAGTCGGGTTCCTGATCGATCCGCGATTCTTTCTTCTTCATAGATGCATCATGATCCAGACTGTTTGCAGCTGATTCGTCCGACTGAACTAGTTCGGTGTCAGCATTATGACCACCACCATCGTCGTCATCATCATCATCGCTGTTATTGACTGCTTCTGGATGGGTTGGTTCATCACCTTCATTGTCGCCACTTTCGACATCAATATCGTCGCCATTGGTTTCAGCTTCTAGCCCTTTTTTGGATTCTTCACCCTCCGATCCGTTGGGGCAGCAGCACTTTTTACTCTGTTTCTCCTCGATCAAGCTACGAATGTGCCGAATCAATTGGATTAGCCTTTCGCATGCACTCCACTTGTTCCATGCGATCGCCACGAGCCTGGCGTTTGCAGGAATGACCGTCACAGCCACCACCGAGGAGGAGTATCCGGGCTGAGGAGCAACGATGTCGTCAAAAAATTTTGCTGTGGCCTCCAATTGACGGTCTACCTGGGTGTCACCATCATTACCACACGTAACCATGGACTTAGGTAGCTGATAGAGCACGGAATATGTCGATACACTAGGCGGTACTTCTCGTATTTCAGGATGCGTCATCCACCGGCGATAGGAATTCTCACCATCGTTGAGCCTTTTTGGATTGGCTTCGTCACTTTTGTTTCGTTTGGAAAAAAGCTCATTTTCCAACTTGTTGAGTTCCCTCATGCGTTGCCCATAATGATTTGCTTCCAAAAAAAAAGTCTTCCGCAAGTTAATCACTTCGACCCATTCCTTGGTCAGCAAGTAAAAGGTGTACCCGTAAATAGCCAGGCAAGATAGCATCGTCGCCCAGATCCTCCAGGTTTGGTTTGCGACCCACCAATCTCTGGCCAATTGCGTTGATCTTTTTTCTTCAAACCTATCATCATCGCTATCCAAATCGTCGGTATAGTTGTCTTTGTTGGGACGTCCTAAAACACTTGCGAGGATACTTCCGGTACTAATATCTGGCCCCTCATCGGATATACCATCCAAGCTTTCATAGTACTTCGATTGCGTGCGAAAAGAGGAAGAATTGGTTGAGTTTCTGTTAGTATGGAATGCACAACCCACAAATCAAACGTACAAACGGAGCTAAGCCATGCCATGTCGACAGAATGCAAACGTGAAAACAAACGCTAACACAAAACCTACAAATTTGTCGGGTATGTGCGAAATGGTCGTCAAGAGAAAGCCGTGGCTTCGATGCTCGTGGATCATACATGTTCCCTTTCCAAAAACTTCCGGATCGCAGCCGGCCGTCATGTTGACTGGAAGAATGATAAAGGTGCAGAGTACGGCTACCAGCAAGCCAATCTTGAACAAGAGCGCATGGAATCGCAACAAGATAACGGCATCCAAATTGGTTTTGAGGAGGGGCCCCTCCCATCCATCCTTTCGGGTACCAGTTCCGGGGATTCCAAACATACAGTCTCTATAGGTGAGTTTATAGGCCCAATTGATCCAGGCAATCGGGTAATAGTAAAACTGGTTCTTGTGTTTGCTGGTATTGTTGGGAATCCCGTGCATGATGGCATTTTTTATTACCGATTTGGGCCGGTTGGCGGCACGCGGAGTCAGGTCCTCGATAAAGTCGAACTGAATCACGACTCCGAAGAATATCATGCAGCCGATGAGACACGCTATTCCGAAATATAAGGAAGAACCGATCGCGGTCCTGAGTTCTTCGACTTTCGAATTTTGCAGCGTATCGAGTGTCGTGTTCATCGACATGGCTGGAATGGGTTGGATCGAACACGGATCAAATCAAGTCGTTGTTTTTGTGTCTTATCGTACAAGGCCGAGTCAAACTCCTTGCTTGGTATCTTTTCTTTTGGGCTCCGATTCTCAAGATTGATAGCAATAAACGTCAGGTCTATCGGTCAAAGATTGAATAGCAGAGTTCAGCGTGGAATCAGTTACAATGCGGTAAGCAGAAAACCAACTTCAGTAAAAGCAAGAATACATAAATTTCGGAAGAGATGTAAAATAATTCGGGAATTTGCACCCTGTGTTGGAAAATACCGCGGGCGTTCGAAGCGAACGGCTACTGTATTGAAATTGTCAGCAACCCATGCGATTGATTCGCGTGTCCAAATGTCGTCAAAATAAATGTTCTTGAACTGAAATACAGTTTTTTCCGTTGCAGTTCGTGAGTATCGTTCGTACAGTAATGTAATTTACAAGAGCCATGCAATTTTGAATGCTTCGCTTAGCGCTAAAAATAAAAGTTACGCATACTGTAAAAGCGTAATGTACTGTTCTGGATATCATTAATAATGCGTAACGTAGGAGGTTGGAGTTCGATCGCCTACTCTCCATGGTAGGAAATCGACACAGCTCTACGTGGAGAACAACACGTACCTGTAAAAAAACTATTGCATGTCCTCGAAGCTCTTCTAACAAGCCCTATCTTTGCTCACTTTTTGAAAATTCAAATCAGCAAAACAACATAGATATTCAGACACTACTTAATGAGGTGGAATACAATTGAAATCAAAATTGCTTCAAAGAACAGATTTCTTTGCAATAAAAGCTTGCTAACTACTACTAGTACTACTTGGCCGCCCCTCCTAGTATTGTTAGACCTCCTTTTCAACCACTCTCCCTCCTTTAGGTACAGCTTCTTGTTGTTCCACCAGAACTGCTGGTGAAACAGGGAGATTTTTAGCTAGTAGTACTAGCAGCTCTTTCCTCATCAGTCATCCCTACAAGGTATGTTAAAGCCTCTTCTTTCGTCTGTCTATATCTCTCCCTGCCTAATGCAATGTACCTGTTTGTAATCTCTTCTTCGCTCTTCGTCTTAAGCTTCTGTATTCTTTGAGCTTCAAAAGAGTCCCTCCATGATGGCTCAGGAGGAGGGACATTCCTCACTTCCATCCACATACCTGCATACACAGTAACTCTGTGTATCAGCAATAAGACTTGTGTATGTGTGCTGTGTTAAGGGGTCATTAAGAGGCTACCTTTGAATAGCCTGCGACCAACCGTATACTAGATAGGCATGTATGCTAAACATAGTACTACCTTGTACCAATCTTCTAATCATATGAGTCATATCCAACACATATGAATCAAAAGGTTCAACCAACCATATCAAAAAAGAAATCAATGAGAGGATTTAGATTGCAAGTGGAACAAAATGATTGGTGCACTGTCAGGGTAAAGCACGTGGGCCGGTATCATCATTGTGGGATGATTATTGAGTGGGGATAAGCAGGGATTCTAGTACTACTATGGTAGCAAAGGAGGGATGCAGGCATCCCAAGAATATGTCAGTATATTCGTAAAATTTTGTTGTGCCGGTGGGTTTGCTCAGTGAATCACTGTAATTCTCATCAGATTTGCATTCAATGTACAAGCCAATGAACTCATCATCAGTCCATTGTAGTAGTACTAGTAGTAGTAGTAGTATCACCATGAAAAAGTGCTTCAATTCTACTTGTTGTGTGCAATATGTGGGTTCATATGCCATTCTTATTGTGTCATGGTTATCAGCAAGTAGTATGACGATGATGGGTGGGTGTGGTGGGGGGAGGGGGGGATGTGGTGTAAAATGAAGTTCTTCTTTCATTATCCAACTGAACCAGAGAGCTGCTTTGCCACCATCAGCAGCCATGTTGGTGAATTCAGCTTCTTTGGTTGAGGAGCTCTGTGCAATGGTGGGTTGCAGCCGTGTGCGACAGTATAACCTGCTGTGAACTGCTAAGATGCTCTCTATTTTATTAAATTTACAATAGTAGTAAAGAGTGAGGTTATTCACTAGCTACTCATGACTGTCGTTGTTCCACATATTTATCCTCACAGTCAAGAACAAACGCAGTAGGTAGTACAAAGTAGTACTTTAGTTAAGTACAGTAGAATAGAAGGACGAACTACTAGTACTAAATACGTAAACAGTACGGTATGTACCGTACCTTAGTCGTGCTCAGTACCGCACGGTAGAACTATCGCCATGTCTTGGTTTTGATTGTTCTCTGACACGAGATCTGTTCCGTTCTGTAGTAGAAGTACAACCAGGTATCAAGGATGTTGACGAATGAAACGACCACTGGCCGAGACGATGCTGGCAAGGGATGCATCCTTGAGCTACAAGACTATCATTTTGACTCATGCAACAAAACCAGGAACGAGGATGACGCAACTGACAACGACGATGGTGGACAGGGATTGTCTAATTATCCGCATCCGACAACAATTCCCATCAAGATAGAATGTGTTGATACTGGGGAGCATGGTGCCCAGGAACAAAGACTGCAGCAGGCGAATGAAGAGGAGAACTATTCGATTCCGATTCCAATGCAAAACGAGAATGAGAACGAGAACGAAGCAACTGACAACGACCATGGTGGACAGGGATTGTCTAATTATCCGCATCCGACAACAATTCCCATCAAGGTAGAATGTGTTGATGACGCGGAGCAGGCCAATGAAGAGGAGAACCATTCGATTCCGATTTCGATGCAGAACGAGGACGAGGATGAGGACGACGCATCCAACAATGATGATGCTGGACAGGAATTGTCTAATTATCCGCATCCGACGACATTTTCCATCAAGGTAGAATGTGTTGATGTCGGGGAGCACAGATTGCAGCAGGCGTTTGAAGAGGGGAACCATGCGGTTCCGATTCCAATGCAGAACGAGAACGAGAACGAGAACGAGAACGAGAACGAGAACGAGAACGAGAACGAGAACGAGAACGAGAACGAGAACGGAGCCCCACAGCATCAACATGAAAATGAACATCAACATGAACATCAGCATGAACACGAACATCCCCAACAGCCAGAACCGCCGGAGCATCAACTAGGACACCAGGCACAACAACATCGGTCACACCAGCAGCAGCAAGACGTCGCGCAAGCCGATGCTACAAACAACGACCTAGACGCCTCCGACGAACTCAGCGATGGAGAAGACGGCAACGGCAGCCCTGGCAAATCCCCTCAGGTCCCACCGACGACGGCCGCTGTTACGACGGTGGGCGATTCTTGGAAGGACTGGGCTCCGGACCCCACTTCGTCCCTTTTCCCCCGGACTTTTGTCGGTGTGCTCCGAATTATGGACGATCCGGGAGTGCTCGGGATCCCCCAGAGGTACGGCCTGCTCCGGTCCGGCAACGACGACGACCCTTCCGCTCGCCGTTCGCGCTACTACTCCTTCGAGCACGAGTTGTTCCACCACGACCGGCACGGCAACCGCAAAGGCATCAAGACGAGGACCTATCTTCGAAAACTCAAGAAGAGGGGCGACCCAAGGCTCTCCTGGCACCAGTCAAGGAGGTCCTGGTCACCGGCCGAGCGCCAGAATCTGAAGCACTTTGTGGAGGTCTTGATCGAGATTGCCATGGCTCATTTTATGGCGTGACGAGAATGCAGGCGATGCAATGCGGTGCGGTGCAGGGGGAGGGGGAAGGGGAAGGGTGCACTCTTCGAATGTGTTTTCGACATTGCCGGGGACTCCGATGCCTCTGGCTGACTCACACTGTTCCATTGCCTCCCCCCCCCCNCTCCCTCCCCACCCGGTGGTCACCATCACACCCGAACTGCTTCCCAAGTACAATGTTATCCGACCAAAATATCTGTTCCAATCCATGTTTGGATTGCAATTGGCTTTTCAGTTTCCACTTGATAAGTTCTTGGCGTGGCACTTTGTGCGTGACCTTCGTTCAACCTATAGTTTCACCAACACTCCTTGTTTTCATCTTCTGCTGAAAACGAACGAGAAGTCCTTCAACTGCGATACAAATCAGTACGAGGTACGCACTCGTCGTGGCAGTTCTTCCTTGTAACAAAGTATTAGTAGAACAAAGCACTTGTCCGGTATTGCTTTTTTAGTCAGTAGAAGTTACAAGTAACTCGTACTAGTAAGGACAACAACGAAAAAAAAAAGATCCGATTTCCGAACTTCGTCGCGGAAAAAATTATGTTGTAGAGAACAGAATCTTTTTTTGGCACGATTAAAATGATATGGTGATTCACGAAACCTGCATAAAGTAGAGAAAAGGATTCTCTGTGTCATAATTATTTATGACTCCTGCATACAGTAACCCCAATATCTTTTTCTGTGCAAAATCTATGGAGTTGCCAGACTTGAATTCACATACGGAGGATTTGAATGCCGACCCTTGTGGACACCAATCCCTGACAAAAAGGTCATAAAATTAACAAGCCAGAAACTTGAAAAGCAAGCACAATCTAAACAGGACGATCAAAAAATCCTACGAACAAAACAACATCATTAATCTTTTAACGAAATCAAAAATAATGGAAAACAACGCACAAAAGAAAATCGCGGTCACCGGCGCCAACGGATTCATCGGTACCCACTGCGTGGTGGCCCTTTTGGAGGCCGGCTTCTCCGTGATAGCCATCGTTCGCGATCCCTCCAATCCCACCAAGACGAAATTCCTCGAGGAAGAAGCCTCGAAACTCGGCAAGAAGGAGCTCTTGTCCTTTGCTGCCGGGGATCTCTTCAAGGAAGGCAGCTACGACGACGCCCTCGAAGGAACGTGGGGGGTGGTCCACACGGCAGCAATCGTAAACATGGACAGCAACACGGATCCCGATCTGGTTGTCAAGCCGGCGGTGGAGGGAACCAAGAACGTGACGGCGTCTGTGAAGAAGCACGCGAACACCATCCAGCGATTCGTCAATATTTCCTCCGTTGCAGCCGTCTTTTCCGGCGACAAGCCGGCCGGGCACGTCTTCGTCGACGAGGACTGGAACGAGTGGGGCACACCGGAACGGGGAGATACCTACGGATACGCCAAAACCATGGCCGAGAAAGCGGTGTGGGACGACGCCGATCTGATCTCCGCCGTGGACACCGTTGTTTCTCTGAATCCGGGAGTTGTATTGGGAAAGGCCTTCACCAAATCGCACGCCGTGACCAGCTCCACATCTTTTATTTATAACGTCTTGGCCGGAAATCCGATTGGAAACGGACCCATGCCGTTTGTTGACGCGAGGGATGTTTCAAAGGCAATAGTTCTAGCCTTGACCCAGGACAAGGAGGTAGTTGGAGGTAAGCGTTTCATCCTCTCTTCTGTCACTATGGACTCGCTCAACCTAAACGCCATCGTGAAGAAATCCCATCCCGAGGCCAAGGGCGCCGCGGGAAGTGTCTTTATGCCTCTCTTTAAGGCACTAACGTGGCTTGGCGAAAAACTTCCATTCCTGAGAAAGCCACTGGGCTGGAAGGAGATTTGGAAATGCTACGGAAACGTCTATAATTTTGATGGCTCCAAGGCCGAAACGGTTCTTGGCATTGGAAAGTATCGTTCCATCGAGGATACCTGCCAGGTAGCGGCCGACTCTCTGGTGCAATTCCTCGACGAGGACGAAACCAGCAAGTAAACGCCTCTTTTGTTCCAACGACTCGATCAAGCGTTATTTGGACAGACAGAGCAAGGCTCTGTATTTGGCACGCGAGTCGCCCGTGTCCTTCCCAGGTCCACAACGAAGTCAGCAAGGTTTGCAATGATGCGTCCCCGATTTGTTCCGAAGTCGTGATCGGAACCAACGAACCAGCAGCGCAAAGTTGGTTTCCCTCGATGAGAGACATTGTGTCCTCCCTCAATGAATCGATGGGGATCTTTCGCGCTGCAATTTATAGTTTATACCATTATGTGCCTCTCTCCCGTACTATTAGCCATCATTATATGCAATAAAGTCCCGAATTATTCCGAAGCCGTGATCGGAACCAACGAATTCGCGCAACAATGAGTCTTCGTGATGCGCTTCACAGTTTACACCATAACGCGCCTCTCTGCCTTACCATTAATTATCATATTACATAATTATTGTTGTACTCCAAACTGTCATTTATATCGTAGTATTACTGAATCTACTTCAATGCTTTCGAGCTTTGCTCCGACTTTCATTTGGTTTGCATTTATGTACATGTTGTCGCGTCTGTCCACATGGTTCGATTCCGTTGTTAAGCTTTGGTCCTCGGTACCAGGACCATGTCGGGGTACGGATCGGCCAGGAGCATGAGCTTCTGCTTGGGCTTCCATTTCTTCGTCGGGCTGGTCGTCGCCTCCGAAGGGTCGACCAATCGGATTTCCCAGTCCTGTACCAGCCGCGCCGCAAGAACGAGCATCTCGGCCACCGCCACGTTCGCACCGATACACCTCCGCTTCCCCCTGCCAAAGGGATCCGAAAAATAAGGGTGGTCAATAACCTCGGATGGGGTCCCTTTGCGGGCAGACACTGCTTCCGGTAGGAAACGCTCGGGCGAAAAGACCATAGGGTTTTCCACGTACTTTGGGTCCATCGGAATTCCCCGCAGGTTGAGGCAGATGTTCTCCCCTGCCGGAGCACGGTAGGCCTTGTCGGGCGATCCGTTGTTGCCGTTCGTTACCACTAGATCGATGTCCTCTTTGAGCTTCTTCGTGAGGAGAGGATTCGATGGGGTCAACCTGTGGGATTCCCGGAAGCATGCCTTCAGGTACGTAAGAGACTCGAGCTGTTCCACGGTGACCACGTCGGCTCCGCCCAGTGTCTCTCGGAGCTCGATCGCCAGCCTAGTCTGGACGTCGGGGTTGGACGCCAGGTTCAGATAGAACCAGCCCATCACGTAGGCCGTCGTATCGACACCGGCCATGAGCAGGGGGGCAGCAACGTCCCCAATCGTGTCGATCCTTTTGGTTGCCGTTTCATCGTTTTCGTCGCCAAAGACCCCACGGTCTACGAGTCTTTCGATTAGAGAAGGATTGGTTTCACCAAAGCTGGTAGGGACGACCTTGTTGCGGCCCAGCGACATCCGGGGCTTTGCGGACTGGATGGTGGATTTGAGGGCCGTCACCGGACATCCGTTGCTCGCTTCGCTGGCCAGTGATCCGGTCTCGCTGCCGATACCACTGCCGTTCGCTTCGGATTCCTTTGCTTTGGCCGCCTCTTGCTGCAAGCTCAGCGCATCGTTTGCGAATTTTGTGCAGCGGTCCTTCCCAATGTTGAAGACGAGGTCCATGTTTTTGACAAATATTTCGTACAGATTGTCGCCTTCGGATGGAAACCACGAGTACTTTTCCATCGGATTCGTCATGAGTTTGCCAGTGGCCTCGAATGCCGTCTGAGTGGCTTTCACGAATTCGACGTCCTCCGGCCTGGCGTTCGAGGTGTCCGTCGTCCTGGGGGATTCCCCGAACAGGACCGCCGAGAACATGTCAAAGGCCGCACGCGAGACGAAGGTGTGAAAGCTAAGGTTCTTCCTCGACATTTCCGTCCCCGCCACGCTCGAAATCTCGGAGCAGCTCTTGGCGATCGCTGGCAGGTACGTGTCCCAGAGCACGTACAGGTCGGGGTTGAGAGCGGAACGCCACTCCCTCCAGCCGGGGCCGGCGCTAATGCTCTTCAGGGGGAGTTCCAGCTCGTTCTCCTTATAGTAGTCGGTGAAGGTAGTGACCATTTCCGCGCCTCCCCTTGGGAGGGTTCCCTCCCTTCGAAGCACCTGGTCGTAGACGTTCGGATCGGCGACAACCAGCATCGTATTGCCCCCTCCAAGGTTCGAGCCATAGACCTCGCCATAGTCCCTGTACATGCTCTCGTGGACCTCCGCGTACCCATCGACCCCGCCCCGACTCAAGAAGTCCGGGAGGTTTCCGATCAGAGGCCACTGTACCGGAGTGGGGATTTCGGCAAGCCGGATATCCTTCTTCTTGTTGGTCAAGGGCGTGGAAACGGTTTTTTCTGCTGTCTGGAAGGCATTTGCCGCCGGCAACGCTGCGAGCAAGCCCAGCAGCAAGAATGTCACAATGGTTGGCGATAGAGAAGAGGATGTCATCGAAATGGTAGATGGTGACATTGCCGATGTGTTTTGTTGTTGTCGTTGTTGATGATGGGGGCTATCGATCTACGGTATGTTATCCGTAGCTCAGGTTTGCTTGTTGATGCGACCACGAATCGGTGAAAACTACAGAAGGTCGGCGAAATAGGATATTTCTCAATTGGTTCGAGACAGAAAGAGAGGAGGATTTTTCGTCTTCAATGGTTTGCCACAACGAAATTCTAATCGCGTCAGTGGTTGTATTCGGAAGTACCGGTACCGTAATCGCAAGCGCTTTATTGAGTGTTTTGATTCACGGTAGTTACGATTATTGACAATTCAGTAATTAAAAAAAATAGCCAGTCCCAACATTTTTTGTTAGAAGTTCATGGAAATAGTACGGACGCTACCGGTAGGTTCCCGTATCTGGTGAAAAGCGGCACGAAAGTGCGAGTTTTGAAACGAAAAATCGTTGTATCGCACGGTACAAAAATTCACTCGCAAGAGATGAGAATGAAAGTTCATTACTGTACTGTACCGTAAGGTAGTTGGGCACTAATGCACGCACGGGCAGCTTAAATAATTTGAGGTCCGAGCACCATAAGATTCGTTGGAGATGGTGACGTGGATGAGTTCTTCTACCGTGCAGATGATGGCGACAATGAAAGTTGGAAAAGTGGTCGCGGATAAAAAAGCTTGATCATGTCTTCAACATACCACCGTACGGTTACTTCATACTATCGATACAACGAAAATTGTTCGAATGGCAAAAGGTATTTGAGAGTTGCGATGCAGTAATTGAAACCAGTTGCTGCAGCGCGCAAGAACTTTTTGAGTACTGAACTTCGCTCCATCGCCCTCTTTTGTTCGATTTTTTAAAAATAGAGAGTCATTTTTTAAAAATGTCTGGCTTCCTCTTCATTCGTGTTTGAGAAAAGACGACAACCGATTCCGCTGGTGTGCGAACAGTACGAGTGCTCAACTCACCGCTCAATCTCGGCAAACTATTTCGAATTCAGTATCGACGGTAACCCACACACAACGCAAGTTTCCCCCTCCCAGGTGAGTGCAGCCTTCCTGTCTTGTTTGAACGAATGGATCACCAAGGAGTTTCGTTTTCCTCCTGCAACACCACATTCCGAAGACGATGACGAACGATGCGGGCATCGCCTTCTATTCTGTACCTTCCGTATCGCACCGCACGCATGGTACTACTTTAGTCCGTCTCCGAGCGCCGGGTTCTGTCATTTTCCCAGGGTATCCCCAACCCTAGAAGAATTTTCAGATTCGACCGTTGGGTGCGCGCTATTGAAGGAGCAAGCTCTGTTCGCCGAACCGCTTACGAGAGAATAGTGCGTTCCGTGCACCCGAGCGATCAAAACTGCGCGCGTGCGCGGAGAAGAATTTTGTTTTGCCACGATGGTGTGCGGCCGGCACTGCCGCATCGAGTTCGTTCGGGAAACGAGAATGACCGATCGATGCGATGCGCCAAACACCCATGGTGTGTTGCTGCCGGGAAACAACGACGTCGTCGTCGTCGTCCTCTATTCACATACTGCAACCGTAGAAACTTAGTACATTTCGTACGACTCCACGGAGGCATCGAATGAATCCAATTTCAATCCAACAACGCCTCAAGAAGCTGATAATCACAACGGCAAAGCCGCATTACAACGCCATTCAATTCTAACCTCCGAACGTTGCCTTCTTGCAAATCCATTGCTCAATCGATCACCCATCGTAGAGACAACGAAAACGAGAAACACATTTGAGAGAAACTTCTAACAATCACCAAGTAAAATCACATAATATACACAAATTTTTCACTCAATAAAACAACAAAAACAAGCACAATGGCGGCACGAGTTGATGAAGAATACGACTACCTTTTCAAGATTGTCTTGATCGGGGACTCTGGCGTGGGAAAATCTAACCTCCTAAGCCGATTTACTCGCAACGAGTTCAACCTCGAGTCCAAGTCGACCATCGGGGTCGAGTTCGCCACGAAGTCCATCCAGGCCGAGGGCAAAACCATCAAGGCACAGATCTGGGACACGGCGGKACAGGAACGCTACCGGGCCATCACCAGCGCCTACTACCGGGGAGCTGTTGGTGCCCTGCTGGTCTACGATATCTCGAAGCACGGGACCTTTGAGAACGTTGAGCGGTGGCTCAAGGAACTCAGGGACCACGCCGAGGCCAACATTGTCGTCATGCTCGTGGGCAACAAGAGTGATCTGCGCCACCTGAGGGCAGTTGAGACCGACGAGGCCATGTCGTTTTCGGAGCAACACAACCTTGCCTTTATCGAAACGTCGGCGCTTGACGCCTCCGGAGTCGACACGGCCTTTCAGCGAATCCTGACGGAGATCTACCGGCTCATGTCCCGGCGCAACGTTGCCGCCGAAGATGCTGCGGGTGGACCCTCTCTGTCGGCCGGCCAATCCATCAGCCTCTCTGGTGGAAACAACAACGCCGGGCAGGGAGAAAAGAAGGGTTGCTGCTAGATTATATGGTATTATATAGTGTATGGAAAGTTGAGTTGTCCGCGGGGTGGGAGTGAAACGGACGGAGCACATTGCATTGCGTGGCATTGCACAGCATGGCATACCTTTTTGCATCCATGCTGCAATGGTACCAAATCTTCCCCCCTTGGCATCGTGTCGTAGGAATGAACGAATTATCTATGCCCAGATGTAATCGTCGATGATTCGATTCCCTTCGATCCCTCTGTGTGTAAGCTGGTTCACCTCGCATTATTTCACACCGCACCATATCACATCCATACGAAATATTTTATTGTCTTTGTAACACAAAACACGTCTATCTTCGATACTAGTATCACAATCATTATTATTCCACTTGTATACCCAAAAAAAATAGTACAGTAACAAACCTTCATTAATGGTGGCTATCAGGAAATCGGTATGTTGTCCCTGACTCGTTCGCAAGTGTTCTTACTATCGGATATCGGCGAGAACGATGGGTTTGCACATGCTCCCTGAGTTCACTAGGTGTGCATCAAAATGCAACAGAAGATGATACTGCAAACATACCCACAAAACAAAGGGGAACAAGTCCAACGAAAACCGAAGCCGTCGATCGATATAGAATCCAAGATCCACTCGTGCAAGCTCACGAAAAAAGCACGATGCGTAGGACTCCAAATCCACCAGCAGCGCACGAAACGGCAGATACAACACAACGAATCGTTTCATTGCACTAAATTGTATCACCAAAATAAATATTTCTTTCTTGTATTGTAGGCACCATGCAAGAACACGCGAAAGAGAAGGGTGGGGGCATGCTACATTCACTATTTCCATTCCTGACCAATCAATGTCAAGGCGGATGTGTCTATTTCTCAGTCTTTGGTCCACCTCATCGGTCCACCCAATAAAGTAGACGTTCTCGACGAGTATCGACTTTAATTTCACTAAATGCGATTAGCTGCTCCAAGTGGCACGTTCCCCTCGAATAGACACCAGCGTTCCTCCAATGCACACTTCTCGCTTTATTTCCAACCGGTTGCATCCATCCAGTATGTTAAAACTTGCGAAGAATTTGGGTCTTTTGTTGTCTCGCCGTACTGCTGGGCTACCACGACGTGCCTATGCAAAAGCAACGAAGATTCGTTTCATTTCATTCCGCTGTCTTTTCCACGCTTTTTATTTTCTTTCGATTCGTTATTCACCGCTCACTCCGTCCCCGTTGTCAATGTCGTACCCGACATTGTCGTTCTGACCGTTCTTTTGGCTGCTGCCCTTTTCCTTGTTGTTATTCTTTTTCAAAACACACTTCAATCGCTGCACGGCGGAAGAACAAGATGTCTTGCACCGCGCCATCAATTCCTGCAGCGGTTTCGGCAGCGGCGGCACCTTGATCTTTCCCGTCTCAAGCCCCTGCTGGATCAGCCCTGCGATAAAGCCCAGAACTCCGCCCGCGATGATGAGAGTCAGCTCGTCTTCCTCGAAGATAGGGTGGAGGACCCGCTCGAACTTGGCAGGGCTCATGGCCTCCATCTGCGTCCTGAGGGTGGTCTCGAGGCCCAAAGCTCCGTCGACGTATGTGTGCAGCTTCCCGGAAAGGTGCCCCGGCAGGTTGGTGATGGCCGACTCCGTGACCTTCCCTATGGTTTCCGGGGAGGGAAGCCCCTTGAAGAGACCAAAGCTCGCAATGCTCAGCAACCGCTTGACGTGGCCGCCTAGCACCTGCGACAGAGCGGGCCTCGTGGACGCATCGGTCAGAATCGAGTTCCAGATCTGCTTCGAGGTGACAATGTTGTCGGCGAAAAACTTGGAAAACTCGGCCGCGACCTCCTTCTGGCGGGTGAGGAACATTCCTTGCACAACAAAGGGTCCGATCTTGGTTGGATTGACAGGCTCAAAGATCCACTTCAGGGCCAGCCAGTTGGTGGCGAGCCCAACGATGGTCCCGCCGATCGAGAGGGCCCAAGGATTTTCCCACACGAGTGCCACCGCCATCTGGATGAGGCCCAGCAAAAAACCGAACCAAAGGCCAGAGTTCGTCAGAAAATCAAGCTCGACCCTCCCCACCTTCTGAAAGAGCTGCCCGAGTTTGGCCCGGTCGAGGATCATCTGGTCGACGACGCAGTTCTCGAGAGAAAAGATGCGCTCGCTGTTGCGAATGAGATCCTTCACGACGCCGGTCAGAACCCTGGCGTTACAGAACCGGAGAATGCCCGAGTACCAGCCGCCCCCGCCAAAGACCTTCTGCCACAGACCGAGGGGAAAGGGTTCGCCGGCAGCCCCCGCCGTTCCCACTACGTCCCGGATGACTTCCTCTCCCAGCTGGGGGACGGCCCGTGCCAGGTGCCCCGCCACCTTCCCCGGGTTCAGCCTGGCGAAGGCCTCCGGGACGGTTAGCAGCTGCGTCTCGACCATTTCCACCAACGCTCTGGACATGGTAGCCGTCTTGCAGGGCACAATCCCCTGCCAGCCCAGAAGCCCGAGGGGGACCTCGGCCTTGCGCCAGATCGGTATTCCCTTGAACTGGACGGGGTAGAAAATCATCTGTACCGCCAGGTAGTTTGTCAGCCAGCCAACAAAGCCGGCAATGACCGGGATCATCAGGTAGGTCCCCGGACGGGCCCGGAACTTCGCGGCTGCGTTTGCAAAGACGCCGGGTTTTGTATTCTTCGAGGGTTCCTGGGTTTCTGCGTCGCCGGAGGCAGTCGTAAGCCTGGTGGTGGTGGGAAAGGAGGAGCGCGATCGCGTGGGCCGTAGCGTTCTCCTTCGCACCTGGGGCAAGATTGTTGGCGACGGAGATCCCTCGAAAGGTTGCCATTGGAGTTCCACCGATTGCGCAGCGGGAGCCACGCGGGGGGTGCCTGTTCCTCGCGGACGGCCTCTGATTCCGTTTCGCGCCGACGGCGAAAAGGCTCCGACAAAATTCACCCCGGGGAATAGGATGCAACCACAGAGGGCCACAATAACGATAGGGAACGCAAGCGAGGTGCTGGTCCCGACCCGTCGCTGTCGTTGCCGCTGCTGTCGGGATTGCCCTCGGTTCTTCGGAACTCCGATTCTTCCACGAGATTCCAATCGATTTCTTGCTTCGACTCCAGCCCTGTCGCCCCCTCTCGGAGAGGACGGCGGAGGCGATTCTTCCACGACCAGGACGTTCATTCTTGGGTTCGGTTCGCTTTTCGTTTTTCTCGCACAATTGTGAACAAAAAGAATGCAAGCCGTGCCTATTTTGTTTGTTGCGTAATGTTTGAATCTATTGTTTGTTCGTGATGTTGTACGGTACGGTACGAATGGACTATGGACGTAGTTTTGACGATATCCTTACAGAAAACGTTTTCGAGGCATGTTACGTTCTTCACTTACTTGCCTCCTTCATTCTACCGTACGACCCTATCGTACAACGGCCCGTCTCATATTCCGTTCCGATCTTTGCACTCAGTCACTACAGTTACGTACTCGTACTCTACTAGATACTAGAGTACGAGTACGAGTATCGAGAAAAGAGAAAATACGACGTACTGTACGTAATACATACATCCAGTACTATTGTACGTACGAGTACGTACGTACTCGGAATCACAATTTTACTGTACTGTAACCACGAGTACGTACGTTCCGTACCGTATTGTAGTCTATCGTAGTAGACGGTACCAAATGGCATTTTTTTCTGGAGAGCCCCCGATCGCGCGTTTTTTAATATCCGCGCGTTCGCTAGCAAGATTCCACGTCAGTGACGAGGGGGAACAGGGAAATCTGTTCCACAGAAGGTTCTCTATTCGGGGGCATATTGAAATTTGATAAGGGGGGAATGTCTGAAAATAAAATTAATTATCGGCGAATTAAAAGTTTATTAATCTGATTAATTAACTTAATTAATCTGATTAATTAACTTAATTAATCTGATTAATTAACTTAATTAAGCTGATTAATTAACTTTGATGAGCAAAAACGAAAGTTAACAGGGGAGCATTGCTTACCAGGACCGGCCCACGTTTTTGAGTGAGCTTTGGTGGGACCGAGGACCGGTCTGCGCGTGCTTTGAGAATGATATTCTGTCACTATAGCCAGTTCAATGGAATATAATATTGCTAGATAATAAATTAATTAACCCAGTAGCATAATTAATTAATTTAATTAATGTAATTAATAAATTTAATTAACTTGATTAATAAACATTTATTATCGGCGAGTTAAAAGTTAATTAATCCTGACGTCGGCCTTCCCCCAAAGACACAATTTCCTATGCCCCAAAAACAAAAAAGTGTTCCTCTGGCTGGAGTTTCCCGGAGCGCCGGCGCGTATGGTCTCTTTCAACAGCCAATCCCGTGAGTATATTAAAAAACGCACGATCGGGGGCTCTCCTGATGATTCTTGCTTGTTGAGTTGAAGCGAGTTCCATATCTTCTCGTCTGGAAGTTTTTGGTGGCACATGCTCCATCCGTCCACAATATTATCATATGCTTGATATCTAGAAGAAGTAGATAGAATAGAATACGATCACGATCACGATCACCTCGGTTTGATGTTTACGAAGTACAGTAAATTACTACTAGTAGTAAAAGGTACGTGAGTACGGCATGTACCACCTGATGAGGTAAGGGTACGAGTACGAGTACTTCCACCTATGCCATGACCTAGAGTTGCGTCTCCGTCTGCTTCTGCTGTTGTTGTTCCTTTCTTCACTCGCTGCTGCCGATGCTTCCTTCTTGTTCTTCTTTGTTGACGTGCTTCTTGTCTTCCTTGGTGCTGCTACTTGCAAGGACAGTTTTGGTTTTAGTGTCGCACCGAGTCCTTCACCTCGATTGAACCACAAGGAAACAAAAATAACCACATTCTCATTGGTCTGAAACAACGGATCCTTGCGAATCCGAGTTCTATGCTAGTTGTTTTTGAAGTGTTCGATGGTTTCGAGGACCAAGTCGATGCGGTTTGTGGTGTGCCACGAATGGGAACAAATCCTGCCTGGGTGCACCACGACAACAAGAATTTCAAACAACGAGAGCTGGCACCGATGAACAATTGTCGTTCGCTTCGCACAATCCACGCATGCCCTCCTTGTGGGCATCGGCGCCATTCCTTTCTTTCGCTTGATTACAGAAAATTCTGGAGTCGGTGACGCTGGTGGCCTATGCTTCACCGCTGTCGTGGTCATTGCCAAGGTCGCTTTCGCTGTTGCTTTCGCTTTCGCTGTCGTCGTCCCAGGCCGGGAGCTCGTCCACTCCCTCCGGGGGGGGATCGACCAGGCGCTGGATCATTTCGTTGAACCTGGCGATCAGCTCGTGCCGCATGCCATAGGTTTCCTTGGCGTCGACGATCCTCACGCCCTCCTCGTTCTCGTCCCGGTCGTTCAGGTCCAGGTCCTCGTCGCTGGGGTCCCCCACCTCGACCCAGAACTGCGAATCGACGTCCGTGTGGTGGTAGTTCCCCCCTTCGTCGATCAGGCCCTGCAGGTCGTACCAGTAGGTCGGGCTGTGGTCCATGGCGCACTCGATCTTGCGCCGCTCCTCGTCGAGCTTGGCCTCGAGGCTCCTGGGATCGATGCCCAGCGACACCAGGTGGGTCCGAAAGGCGGGCAGGTCCCTGGTGACCAGCAGGTCCCACTTGCGGGCCAGGTACCCAAAGGCCAGGCTGGACGGGGGCGCCACCTTGACCTTCTGGACGACCAGGTGGGGATCGTTCTCGTCAAAGACGAGGCGGTCCGACTTGGGCTTGGTTCCCTTCGGGGCGACCTCGTCCACGTAGGCAAAGTAGGGGTTCTTCCGGAGGCCGTTGAGTTCCCGGAGGAACTCCTTCGTCGCCCCCACCTTGAGGGGCTCGGAGAGGTAGAGGTGCCTGGCGTGGCACGCCTTTTCGAGGGTGGCGGTGGCAAAGTCGTAGGCCCTGGCCATTCGCTCGTAGTGGTACCCCGCCGAGGCCACCAGGTAGCCGACGTTCTCCGGGTCGGAGACGGACCGCCAGAAGCACTTGTCGGCCCCGCAGTTGCCCTCGACCTTTTGCGAGGCCCGGACGTCGGACCAGTCGAAGGAAGAAGAAAGCGGCGGAAGCGGCGGCGACACAAGGGAAGGGCCTCGGCGCCCCTTGATCCTCCCTTTTTCGGCCGCCTTGCGGAAGGAGGACCTTGGAGGGGCCCCTTGTCGGGAAGCACCGTGGTGGTGGCGCAAAAGGGCAAGGAGGGCCACCACCGAGACAACGCCCAGGGCGAAGACGAGCACCGAGAAAGAGAAAGAGCGCGGCGTGCCCCCTCTTCCGGCAAAGAAACCGGGGCGGCCGTGCCTCCGCCTCCGGTAGCCCGGCGAGGTCTGCGGCTGTATCTGCATCGGCGGGGGTCCTTTCTTGGGGTGTTTTGTTTTGCTTTCTTTTGTTTTGCTTTGCTTTGCTTTGCTTGGGGATCGCGTCGTGTCGCCGTTGCGTTGTGCCGATCCCGGTATTGTTTCGGCTCGAATCGGTCCGCAGCAGTCCTCGCGAGTTTTGGTGGGTCTTCCAACCAGGGAATCCGTGTGGGGACTGTAGGAACAACGAAAGGAACGCAAACGTACATGCGCCGCGATCTCGTTTCGTCGATTGGTCTGCTCCAACGCTGCGATGATTGGCTCTCGGGTGCTGGCCGGGCTGAGCAAAGGTTTGTTTGTGTAGCGTGGTGTGGTGTGGTGTGCTGTGGTGTTTGGTCAAGTACTCGCACTACTACAAGTACTTAGTATTTGGTATGGTGTTTGTCATTCGTTGTTTTGTCCAAACAAAACGGGTGCTCGTAGTTTGGGTTGCGATGAAAACGTAGTACCGGTATGAGTCTCAGACATACTGAATGAGGTACGAGTACCAGTTTGTACTGTAAATTTGTAAACACAGGACCCAAGTACCATACCAGGTACGCATAGAGTACGTAAAGTACGTACGTACAGTACTGGTCTCTAGAGTACGAGTACCGTACGGACTACAGAATCGGAGAGCGGGACCATATTCAAAATTGGGCAGGCTCGACAGGATGGGAGGAAGACAAGCATTGCACATAGTACGGTACTTTACGAAACGCACGCAATCGGGACCCACCGTAGCATTCGTACCGTACCGTATGATACTTCTTTTTGGCGTTTTGAATCTCGCGCGCAAGAGGTGCGTTTGGTACTCGTACGTACCGTTCCATAGTACAGTACAATACTTCTAATTGAATCCGGACCGAAGATTTGACTCGGCGGGAAAGATTTTACGTGCGCAAAAGTGCCTTTCCGTACGGTGCTGTACTGTACCGTACCGAGAGGAGTTTTTGGGTTTTGACCAAGGGTGCCCCCGTAACCTATTGGTCGAATGAGTCAATGTGTAGACGGATTCGGTCCATCGGGGTCCATCGCATCGGTGGCGATCGTCCCCAGCACAAACCCGATCACCACCAAATCTCCGGAAAACCATCGAGCAGTTCTGTTCTTCCAAAAAAACCCTACCAAAGAAAAAACGAAGCAAACAACCACCACAGTGGTTGCGACTGTGGACTAGCGAACCCCAGGGCGCAGAGTAGAACGCAACAGACAGCAATCAAGCGAAGAAAGAACACAAAAGGAACCCAAAAGGAACCAACCAACCAATCAATCAATCAACCAAGCAAGCAAGCAACAGAAGGGTGCAAACGAAAACAAGCCCCCGCACCTACCTTTGTTGATCGGGACGGGCGACGGCCTCTGTCGGCAGCTCTTGCAACACCCGGTGCGGGGCCCGCGGTTTTCTGTTTCGCTTGGATTGTTTCGTCTCGTCTCGTCCGTCTTTTTTTGGTTCGACCACCATGCCCCGCTTCGTTCGCATTCCCGTCTTTGACTTTGTCCACGACGGTCCGGAAGAGGGTCCCGCTGTTCCTCCGGCCGTTCCCTCGCTGGAAGAATTCTTCGCCGCCTACGACGTCGCCAGGTGCGTTTGGTTCCGGAGGAGGAGGACGCCTCTCGAAAGCAAAGGCGGGGAGACAGGAAAGCGGGCGGGGAAACGCCGCCGGATGGATCCAGCGGCAACCATTGCGTCGTCGTCGTCGTCGCCAACAACAGCAGCAACGACAGCAGCAGCAACGGCGGAACCGAAGGATGCGCCGGCTCGCGCCCCGCCCTGGTTCCTCGGCCCGATCCGCGAGGCCTACGAATCCGCGTCCCCCTTGGACAAGGCGTCCTGGAACGTCGAGAGCGGCGGCGGCGAAAGAAGAAGAAAGGCAACGGAAGTGTCGCCGTCCGACCTCTGGGGGGAGGCAAGCGGCAACGCGTACGGGTACGGGTACGCCTCCTTTGTCCTCTCGGAAGGGGCCACCGGCCCGGGCCTTTCCGAGGAGCTGGCCGGCCTCCGGGGGGGGGGGAGCCACCGGCTCCCGCACCGCCTGCTGTGGTCTAACGCTTCCCCAAGGGGTGGGGCTTTCCCCTCGGTTTGGGTGGCACCCCACTGCTGGGTCTTTTGTGCCAGGAACAAAGGCGAAAGCGAAGGGAGCCAGGCCGGAAGCGGCCCTTCGAGGGCGGTTCTGGCCGGCCGGCCCGAGCACACCGACGCGATCTCGCACGACGGGACCGTCCACTGGCAGCTGGGGGGGACCAAGACCTGGAAGCTCCGGCCGACGCTGGAGCTGATGGAACGCACAACGGGGAACCACCACCGAGATCGCGGTGGGAACGGCATAGGCAACGGCAAAGACAACGGCGACGAGAAGAACGGCGACGGGATTGCGCTCTCGGACTCGTACACTGTGTGCCTAAAGGAAGGAGATTTCTTGGTGGTCGACACGAGGCTGTGGTGGCATTCCACCCTGATTCCCCCGCAGCTTGAAAGCAGCGGGTTCTACAGCGTCAGCGTGGCAAGGGACCTGTGCCTGGTCGACTCGGGTGGCAGCAGCCCCTCCAGGGGCAGCAGCAACGACCGGACCCAAAACCAACCCTTCGCCCCCTCCCACAGCGAAGGCTGTTCCGTCTTCAACGCCGAGGCCTCCTGGGCCTCGGGATTCCTTCCGAGCGGAAGCATTCTTTTGGTCGACACAGTGGCAAGGGCCACCTGTGGGCTGGAGGAGCCCGGCGGCGCTTTCCCGGAAGCGTACTACGACGCGCTGCCACCGACCATCTTGCGGACGGGGTCGGGCGAAGAGGCCAACTGCCGGCTCGTGGTCCGGTGGGCTGACGAGGATAGCGGCGACGACGACGACGACGAGGATCGGGGAGAACCACCGCCGCCAAGCATGGTGGACGTCGGGCTGGAAACGATGCGCGACATTCGGGAGGGGGACGAGTTCGTGGTGCTGCAGCCGCCATAACACAGCTTGGTTCGGTTCCTTTTTTGGTTCTTGCGAACGAACGAACGATGCGTGCTTGCGCAAGCCACCAATCGTTCCGAACCAGGGGAACATACCAGGGGAACACCAGAGGGGAACACTCGATAGTCCCACCAAAGCAATGTATTGTTTCTACAAACAAATACAGCAACTACTAGGAAACAACAGAGGATCTACTGTTTGCACTATGGAACTATGGAATGCAATCTATTCGATCCAGAAGTGTAAAATTGCTCGAAAAATCGATGACCGGATACTGTCTTATTTCGTTAAGGAATAGCAACATCCAACTCTGCCCAGCCAATCCAGGCCAATCCATTCACTACATTCACTCCGGGCCAATCCAATCCAATCCATTCACTTCTTGCCAATCAAAAACAGGGCGACAACGAGTCCATAGAGACCAATGGACTCCAGAAAGATGAGCGACAACACTGTTTTTCGGAAGCAAGCCCTGGTCGAGGCGTCGATCCCTTCCGACCTGGGCAGCATCGGGGTGCTCTCGGTAACCGGTTCCTCCCTCGAAGGAGGAGCCGGTGGCGGAAGCGGCGCATCGAGGCCCCCGTTGAGCTTCTCCAAAAAGCCCGCCATCCCCCACCCGGACGCCAGGCAGGCCAGTCCCACCGACAGGCCCGCCGAGAGGCACCGAAAGCCCTCGCCGGCCGTCATGGATTCCTCCATCCGGCCCACCAGGAGGTAGGCAATCACCGGCCCGTAGATGGCCAGGACCCCGGCCTGCACGATGGGCACGAGGGACAGGGGAAGGGGCATCTTGCTGGTCTGGGCGTACACCGCGCCGTGGGCCGAGGCCGATGCGGCGCCCGCTGCGGACAGAAAGACGGCCGAAGCACAGCCCAGGCCGGTCAGCAATTGGGGATCGAGGAGGGAGGACATGGGTGTTGTGGAAGAGCAGAATGAAGCTTTCGCAGAAGCTGTTGTGGTGTTCTTGTGGGCCGTTGCGGTTTGCGGTTTGGGGTTTTGTGCGACGCGAATGTGGCATCGCACTGGTGGTGATTGCGAAGGATCTTGCTCGTACAAACTGTACGAGTACCGGTACAAAACTTCGCTTGCGGGGCAGGACGACATGATTTTTTTCGGGCGGGTTTTAGTCGTGGATAGATCGATGCGAGCGAAGGACCCCTAAGCAGGACTTTTATTGTTGGTACAGTACGTACGTACTTGCATCGAGGCGAGGGGCGACCGATGCTTACGGGCATTGGGTTCGTCCCCTACGGTACTTATGGAAAGTTCACGAACTTGAGGGTACTTTTTGAGAAGTAATGATTGGATCTTCCTACCGGCAGCGTACGAACCTACCGACAAAGGTCAAAAATCGAAAGGAACTTGGCACCAGACTACTAGTTGAATTGCTGCCATTAGCAGAGAAAGTACTAGTATGAATACTGGCAGTATTGCTGGCACTGTACTTCTTGTAGTACCCGGTACTTGTTACACCATATCATGATGCAATTCCCCAGCAGTAATTCTATATCCTCCGCTAGCTAGGAATAGCAGCTTGGTTCTAGAGAAACCACGGATTTGGGGAGGCATTGGTTGTCGGTGGATAGAAGCTACTAATGTTGTGTAGGAACAGTGTGGGACTCTAACGAATAAATCACGGATCATTTGGGACTAAAGTTTTCTAAAACACAATGCGAATGCAGCCTGCTTTTCGTATAACACTACATCTCAAGGTGGATGCAATTTCAATTTGTGCAATTACCATGATGATCGAGAATTCTGCCGACCATGTCAATCGACTTATTGCTGCTTGTTCCGCTTCAGAATACTTGCACTGACACCGGTTCATTTTTTGCCGCTCGAAAAAAACGGATTGCACTAGTGATAGCCATTCTGGCGTTACCACAACCGATGACTGATACGAGTTACGATTGCACCAAGATTGGCTTTCCGCATAGCAGTATTCTGTTAGTGGATTGCGTGTGATCGAGTTCACTCTTTTTCAACACTAACCTCTCGGGACCGACGCCTGTGCTCGCCAAGGACCTAATTGCAAACCGGTCTTGCCAAAAAACTGACAATTACGCTTGTTCTGATTCTTCCACTCCATCGGCATCGTTTGTGTCTTCACCACCATCGTCATCGTCCGGTGGGAGTTCGTATTCCATGCAAATATCGTACCTTGAGGAGGGTGCCGAGGAGCTCACGTACTTGACAAACCTCATGGTTCCCGGATCGCGGTAGACCAGCGACAGCGTGTTGTTGCTTGCACTCACACTAAGCAGTTCCGTGTCGTCGTCCTCGTTGTATTCATCCGCGGCTTGATGTCCCTTGGACGAGGGTTTGCTCGCCGCGGCGGCGTCTGTGGCACCGCTCTCTCCATCGACTGGTTGCTGCTGTGAAGAACCATCACCACCATCTTGCATGTCCATGTCCTCGTCCTCGTCAATGTCGGCCTCGATATAGCACTCGAATCCTCCGATGTCCCCCGATTCCCACATGGCCGTGTCGTATTCCGTAGTGTCCCTCACAAAACACATGGTAGCGTCCAGAACGGATTCTTGCTGCAGCAGGCCATAGTGGGCAACCGTGTAGTCCAGTCCGGGTCGGAACCGTCGAATCCTGTCGCCACTACCCCCGAACCCCGTGGGCTTGTCCAAGCTCGTCACCCGCTTGAGATACCTTAGAAATTGTTCCGATTCAAAAACCTCTTTCTGGACCTTCTGCAGGAGCCTTCCAACGGCCTCAGGAGATGATGCATCGTCATTAGAATCGAGTTTGGTGCTGCTACTGCCACCGTCGTCGGTTCCCTCGTAGGCGAGATATCGCTGTTTGTGTGCGGGACCACGGGTTCGCCACTCTTTTGTCACTCCTTTTCCGTAGTGCGTTTCTAATCCTTCATCGCTTTTGCTGTTGGCGACTGGTTTTTGGTCGCCTTCGTCATCGCTCTTCTTGTAATTGGATTCGATCCTCGGCACCCACTTTTGCAACAAGAAATTCCGAAATTGGATCGTCGAATTGTTCTCGAACTTGATTTGGATCTCGTTCATAGATTCCTCTGTGAGGTATTCGTTCTGGATGTAGGATCGCAGGTAGTTTCGGTCTTCCTCAGAGAATGCGTCTTTGTCGTGCTCTTCTGAAGTGGGAACAGACGGTGGTTTCGTGTCGTTGTTGTCCCCGTCGTTCTCAGCCAGAATCTTGTTCATGGACTTGAGTTGTTGCAGGGTTGCCTTTTGAAGTTCCTCTTGCGGAGGTGGATCTCTGGAATGGTACCACCCCTGGAGGCTGAGCCTCGGGCGGTCCCCGGTGACTTCTTGCACCGCGTGAAACGATCGTCCCGGTAGCACCTCGAAAAAGGCCATGCTGTTGAAAACCGGCCAGGCCCGTGCCACCGGAATCGGTGTGGATCGCGACGAACTCGTTTCATTATCGTCCGCTTGCGGTCCATACAGCTCCAACGCTCCACCCTCGGTGGGGCCGTCCCAGTTTTCTTCCGTCATATAAATAATGTACGAAATCTTGCGTGTTCCGATCACGTCGTCGTGGCACAGGAGGTGACACCCTGGGGCATGACAGTTGCAGGCGCAATCAATCTTGTCGATCAGCGTTCCTGGGGGCAGCCCCGCAAAGCCCTCGACAAGGGATCTCCATTCCTGCGAATACAACAGGTCCCTCAGCCTAGCGATGGTGCGAAGTTTGGATAGGTCCAGCTGCATCGCCTTTGCGCGCTCTTCGTCGAGGTTGGCAAAATCGATGGACTGATAGACTCGGAACAGATCGGATTCCTTGAAATTAACCTTGGTTTGAGCCTTTATTTCCTCCTTGCATGCCGTTAGAAATTCAGGTCGGAAGACGTCCTTGATTTGGAAATAAGGAAAGGGCTCGGCGGCTTGATAGCTTTGGAGGATGGAGGATTTTCGTTCCGAAAGATCAGGCGACAGAATATCATCGAACCCGCCCCTGGTTTTACCAGTAGTGCTAGGGCTTCCACTTGTTTTGGGTCGTTTTCTTGCATGCTCGTCGCCCGAATCATTTTCGGTGCTCTTGACATGGTCAGGCGGAGAATCGACCGCGGTTGCACTTTTTGCGACGGTTTCAGAATCCACGCTGCTTTTGGTCATTGCTGTTTGTGATGTTTGCTGCTTGAGTCGATGTATGGACAAAGTCGGAGTAAGTCAAGTGGTCAGTTATCTGTGGTCAACGGAATTTCATAAGATATCGTAATATTTAGAACTAGAACGATTAGTTTTCTTATTTTGTCTCGTTCTCTTCTTTTCACCGTTGCATTAAGTAATACTGTAGAGTGAGTACAGGTACTGCGCTAAACCACAAAATAATGATGTTCGTCAAAAACCGCAGGAAACTGTACCGATAGAGCACTCGTACGAGTACCAGGTACTATGCTTATCGATTGTCGATTGTCGATCGTTGATTTGATTTCGAGATGGGATTTTTTAAAAATTGATGGGTGGTTGTGTAAAAGGTTGATCCAGCTTTATCCTCACATCTGTTTCTAGCCGTGCAATAATTTCTGCCGTACTATGATTGGTTCCCTACCAGTCGTGCACTGCCAATTGGCATACTGCGATTACGTTATGATACCTATCCAGGATATGTTACATAGATACCACCAAGGATGAAAAATTAGTAGTACTACTATAACTTAGATGATCAATTTGCAGTCGTATTACAGTACGAATGGTTTAAATAGTAGGCCTCTTGGTGGATAAAGAACTGATTGTTGTGTTCTGTTGGACAAACAATGACAGGAACAATAAGAACTTAAAGCACTCCTTTCAATTGATTTCCTGCAAAGTTGAGCACTGATTGGTGGGCTACGAGAAATACTACTATGAAGTGCGTTTAGTTGCATTGCATTCCAATGAATCCGTAAATGCTTGCGCAGGTTGCAGCTTGATCCGATGATGGAAAAATTGTCGATTTTGTGTTTCATCGTGCTACAGCGTTCATACGATGGTATCTACGAATGCTGGGTATGCAGTCAGGTGCTATGATTTGATACATCAAATTAGAATATAACGCCAGGCATTTCGTATGTCGATTCGTAGAGCGCATGTGGTATGTTAATGTTGTCCTGAATGTTGTCCGCAAAATGGAACTATCTATATGGATGTATAGATCCTTTCCTTTGAACGATTTCTTTCTTGTCACTTTTGTGATCGTTTTCTTCAATATTGTGCAAGTGCTGTCTTGCCTGTGCATCGTAAGCTGTCAACTATAATGTGAGTTCCTTAGCTTGGGCTTCGAACATAGAATCGGTACCGTTGGTGCCCATACCACTGTTACTTTTCTTCATCGTCATCGCCATCATCATCATCGTCGTCGTCGTCGTAATCAATATCTAAATCTTCTTTCTTCACCAATGTCGTCACGTCCGGGAGACAATCTTCTTCGTCGCCTTCCCCTCCTGATCTTTCTGCTCCCTTCGAGCTTCCTTGGCGACCACAACGACCGCGATTCAAAGGGGCGCTGGTAGTAGCCAAAGGAACAGGAACAAATTCGTTGGATTTCGTCTCCTTTTTGTTAACGCCTGCGATGGTGCCTCCAGACGGGCAATCGCTTGGCGTCGTGATACTGCAACTTTTGATCTTGTGCTCGGCCTTGTTGCCTGTTGACAACCGCCGCTTCTTTGAACTTCCTTTGCGATCACAGCGACCGCGATTCAATCGGGCGCTGGGGGTAGGCGAAGGAATAGGAACAAGCTTTTTGCATTTCGTCTCCTTCTTAACGCCTGTGATGGTGCCTCTAGATGGGCAATCGCTGGGTGACTTGAAAGTGCACCTTTTGATCGTGTGCTTGACCTTGTTGCCTGCTGGCAACCGCTGTTGCTTATCCTTCTGTGGACTCGAGGTTTTGGAAGACTCCTCCACAAGCGATGATGAGGATGAGGAGGATTTTGATGATTGTGATTGTGATTGTGATTGTGATGGCGGTGGCTTTCTTTTGAGTTCTTTCCCGTTGCTTTTGGCATTGGTAGTATTGTCTCTCGTCATTCTCAAGTTGCTCAGCCCAGTGCCAGTAGCAACAGGGACAGAGACCGCTGTTGTCACCTTGCATGTTTGCTGTTTCCTCCTATCATTCTTGGGTTTGACGTTTCCTCGCCTCCTGAAAATCATGGTACAAAGATGCTGTTTTCCTCTAATCAAATACTTGTGTGAATAAGCTTCGCATGCAAACGAGAGAGAGAGGGACGTCGATGCAGGCGTAAGAACCAATCCGAAACGTAACGTTTCCAGAGCGAAAGAAAGATAGAAGAAACACAAAAGTTGTTGGGATCCAAATGCAATTTATGGAGGACGCAAACGTAGGAAACGTAGGACAAACTTCGAAGCGCGGAAAGTCAATGAACACTTACCGCCGTCGCTTTTGGAGGAATCCGGATTGTGTGTGTTTGTGGTCTTGGACTGGTAGATTCCGTACTTGTTCAGCTGTGTTCGGAAGGAAAGGAATGAACTCATCCTCTCGAAGTATTCCGGTAAGACCAAAGCTTCGAATTTCGATCTGTCGTGCACCCTGAAGGATGTTCCACCTGGTAACCACGAGATGTATCGATTGAGACCCTTGTTGCTTTTTTCCACATCCTCGAGGAGGTTGTAGAGCTTCATGGGAAATTGGTCTCGGGCCCATTCCGCGGAATCGTGGACATCGGACAAGAAGGATTCGTAGCTGTCGGTCATATCCGACATTTTGTAGTCATATGACCGAAGGTGGGTAGGATGGATTATAGACTTTGCTTCTGTGATAATGTGGTATTGGACAATAAAATAGGAACGCTGCTATGAGTGAGTAGAAAATTTGGAGCTAGGGGGGGGGAATTCTGGTCCCATCCTGTCGCAAGGATGCTCGTATACAGCAGGAGCAGTGTAGGACCAACAGAGTCAAATTGAGAACATAAAAGACCGTACTTTCTGAGAACACAAATCGGGTTTCAAAGATAATTTGAAATGATCGAAACATATGGTAGTACGGTAGAGAACAATAAAATGTCCTGTTCAAGTCTGTCTAGTCCCAACACTATATTTATTTGTAAAAACAGAAAAAGAAGTGCGAGAATGAAGTCTAGAGAACAATCTGCAGTACGGGACCAGGTCATGTTCAAGGTACTGTTCACCACGAACTGAAAGGAAATAATAATAATCCATAAAAAAAATCCTAAGAGATGTATGATCTGCTTCCTGTATGAATTGTCACTCCGTTTCTCATTCATTGTTCATTGTTCAATGCAAGTTGGTATTCATTGAAAACTTGTAGGTCCCCAACTGGATTTAATGCACCCAACCCAATTCTTCTTCTAAAATTATCTTTGTTCCGTAACTTAAATGAAAAAATACTTACTAGACAGGGTTTCTATAATTAATGTGATGCGGGGCGCATGCATGACTTCGAGCGACAACGAACAATAGTCTCGCTTTCGGAACCAAACGGTGTCAAGCCTTTCCTAAGCGATGTTACAGTATGAAGAATTCTGGTCCGACCACCCTAAACTAGCATCTTATCAAATAAATACGAAGTAGTAAAAGTACAAACCGTAACCTCCACCAAAAGATCGAACAGAACCTGTCTCGCGAGAAACGAGACCTCAGTTCTCGGAAAAGAGGCCTCAGTCTCGTCGTTATCGTACGTACGTACGTACGGTACGTACCTCACTGAACGCTGTGGCATGTGGCAGGCACTGTTAGTAATAGTATGACTCGTACATTCTGTGCATACTAACGTATCGTGCGTGGATAGATGAATTTTGAATTTTGTTCAGAGACGAATAAATTATAAATTAGCTCTTTTTTTATGATCATCGTCATCGTCGTCATCAACCACCGCCATCGCCATCACCATCGGGTTGTCAAAATAGGAAAAAATAATTAAAAAAACGAAAAAGTCAAGCGCTTCGAAGTCTCTTCTTTGGTTCTTGCGATACAACGTCGCAAACAAGTTTCCTACCGTTCCTAATCTTCAATCCATATTGCCTTTTGCTCGTTTTCAGGAGGAAGCATGTCACAACAAAAGCGTCCACTATGTATACGGAGTCTGTCAGAATGGAACATTCAGTATAGAATATTAATATACGCCGTCGCAAAGATATCCGGCAAGGACCCGGTGACAGCACGGAATAAAGCGAACGGCTGTCGTCGAAAGATGAAACGTGCCTATCCGATCACGATCGACAGGGGCGTTGGTCCCATCCAAAAGGAGCACCCAGAGCGCTGCCGGCGTGTACCCAGAAGAAGAAACGTCCGATCGTGCACGGGCCTTGGGATGGTTTTGCTGCTGGCTCTCGCGGCGGGKGCGCCAACCGCTTTTTCCTTTGTCTTCGACACGCTTTCGCCATCACCTGCGGCCGTTGCTCCCGTACGAATCATCCGGAGACGAGAGGAATCGTCTGCGACGAAAAAAGCAACCACGACGGATAGGAGGGGGTCCCTGCTTTCCGCTCCGGGGATGGCTGTGACACAAAGATCAATACACACGTCTCGGGGCGCAGGAAACCCATTGTATGCTTCGGCAACAATCGAGAGCAGCGTCGAAGCCATGGGGGACAAACCAAACAGCGTCGCGCAAAAGGAAGACGACGGTCGAAGCGATGAGATTGTGGCGGACATCCTAGACTTCTTCCGGCAACACGGTTCGGAAAAAGGTGTGGGTGTCAATGAACCACCGAGAAAGCGTGGAAACGTCCAACTCGTGGCCGGTTCTGGGAAAACCTACATTGCCTGGAAAGTTATGGAGGGCTTGCTGATGCGAGAGAAAAGTAGGACCCGTTTGGTGGGTGGTGCCGTCCCCGAGCTACGAATCGGTGTCTTCGTCACGCCCTTTCTGAACCTCATCGATCAGGCCTTGTCCAACCGGGAGGCACACCAGATCTTAGAGAGCAGCAACAGCGACGACAACGATTCTGTCGCCATCGACACGATGGTTGTCGCCAGCAAAACGGGCCGGGCGAACGAAAAGTGCAGCACGGAGGAGTCCGAGATTCGAGGCTTTCTGACATCGACAAGGGCTTCGAACGGAGAACACGCCGCCAGCATCAAACTCTTGGCCTGCACCTATAGCTCGCTGCACAAACTCGGAAGCGCGATTCGGACCCTGCGGGAGGAGAGAAATCGCACGGACGTACGGATCGATGTTTGCGTCTTCGACGAGGCGCACCGAATGGAGGGATTGACGAGGAGCAACAGCAAGCAGCACAGAAAACAACAAAACCCGAGAACCTCGCCACACGGATCCTTTGCCTACGGGCTCTACGATTCCAACATCGACATCCAAAACCGCCTCTTCATGACGGGGACGCCGCACAATTTTGCGCGGAACGCGACCGTTGTCCCGGTCTTGCCCACAAAACCCAGTCCGGAAGGAGATCGAGTCTTTCTCAAGAAATACGGCGCCGAAGCAAACGAAGAAGAAAGCAACGGAGAACACACAAAAGAGTCCCGGATACGGAGCTTTTCCGACGAAACCCTGTTCGGTCCGTGTCTGGCAAGAAACACGTATCGGGAGAGCGTCGAACAAAACATCACGGTTCCGATTGGCCTCTTTGGGGTGGACATGGGGGTCTTTCAGGAATACGACAACGACTTTGCGAATGGAGCCATCGGGGACGACAACGAGAATTTCGGCGAACCGAAACCCGAAAAGGACTACTACCTGCCCCTCGCCATCCAATCCGCCTTTCAGAAACTCAACGTCTCGCACGCGGTGACCTTCCATTCGACCAACCAACGCGCCAGAGAATTTTTGTCTCTGGCAGAAGACGTCTTTGCCCGCAACAATTTCGACATTGATCTCTTCAACATGGACTGCAAGACACCGCCCGAAGAACGAAGGCTCATCCTAAAGCAGGCGGCGGCATCCCCCCGATCCCTCATTACAAACTGCAAACTCCTCTCGATGGGTGTCGACGAGGCCTGGTTGGATCTGGTGGTGATTGCCGATCCCGTCCGGAGCACCGTCGATGGACGGCAGATGATAGGACGGGTCGGACGAAAAGCACCCGGAAAGACCAAGGGATACGTCGTGGTTCCGGTGCCGGTGTTGGAAGGCGATGGTTTGGAAGAAAATCGAAGGAACAACCATGCCTACCAGAGATTCGTGACTACCTTTCACCACATGGTCCACATCGACGAAGAACTGCGCCAGGAGGTACTGATAGCCGTTCAGACAAGTGAGGAACTTGGCCGGCCCCTGCACGAATCCGAGTATCCCTCGCGGATCTTGGAGGCCTTCAACCTCCCAATGTCGATCCCGGCCGAGGTGAAGGACCAACTCATGGACTGCGCAATAGTTGCGTACAACAACAACGATTACGGAGACGATTCGTCGAAAACCTGGGATCGAATGGTCGAATTTCTGCGAATCTACAAGACACGAAACGGAGATTGCAATGTTCCACAATCTTATACAGAAGAGACCGGGGAATGTCTCGGAAGCTGGCTGAATGCACAGCGGCTGAACATGAGACGGGGACTCCTCGACCCGCACCGTCGAAATACATTGACGGAACTCGGTGTAGTGTGGGATACCATAGGTCAAAAGTGGGAGGATATGTACACACTTCTGGCGCAGTACAAAGAACGAGAGGGCCACTGCAACGTTCCCAGAAACCACCAAGAAGGCCCAGAACAAAATCTTGGAGCGTGGGTGAACCGACAACGAATCGGCAAGAGAAAGGGAAAACTCGATCCGGTGCACGAAGATCGGCTGGCAAAACTCGGCATTGTTTGGGATGTCCTGGCGCAGCAATGGGATTCCATGTACACACTTCTGTTGCAATACAAAGATCGAACTGGCAACTGCAACGTACCGTTCAAGCATGAAGAAGATGGAGAAAAGCTCGGAATGTGGTTGAACACACAACGCCACAACAGGAAGAACGGAGACCTCGGCACGGAGAGGATCCAAAAACTCGAGTCCGCTGGTGTAGTGTGGGACCCCTCGGGGCAACAATGGGGGGATATGTACACACTCCTCCTGCAGTACAAGGAACGAACCGGAGATTGCAATGTTCCACTTTTACATGAAGAAGACGGAAAGAAACTTGGGCATTGGTTGAACAAGCAGCGGCGGGACAAGAAAACGGGAACACTCGCCAAGGAGAAGGTCGATTTGCTGAGCGAGCACGGTGTCGTATGGAATCTGACGGCCCAGCAATGGAAAGCAATGTTCAAATTGTTGGTGCATTTTCGAGACCGAGAGGGACACTGCAACGTTCCACAGATGCATCGGGAAAAGGGAGAAAAACTTGGCACGTGGTTGGTAAACCAGCGAACAAGCAGGAGACTTGGTAAGCTCGATGCGGAGTTGGAAACGAAACTGATGAAGCTTGGGGTGGTGTGGGATACCAACGCTCAGCAGTGGGACCATATGCACTCACTCCTTGTGCAATATCGAGAGCGAAATGGGGACTGCAATGTACGACGAAGCTACGAGGAAGGAGGGAAAAAACTCGGGAATTGGGTCAACACACAGCGTTCCAACAAGAAACTTGGAAAACTCAGTAAAGAAAGAATACAGCGTCTGGAGGACGCTGAATTTCTGTGGACTAGCAACAAGGGACAATGATGAAAGATTTGATCGCCAATCAATAACCAAATTTATTGGAACAAAATCGTTCTCTTGTTGAACGTTTTGGAGCTCCTGATGATTGTGGACTGCATGAAATTGTTTGGCAGCTGTGTAGAATGAAGCTCGATATGAGTGTCGTGATTGCGTCTGGTTCAAAAAAATATACTTGACCTCCTGGAGTACTGTTATGATGGTCTAAAACCTTGTTGATTTTTGTCATCGCAACAGTAATGATCCATTCCAAAGGAGATTTTCTTCTTTCACAGAAACTAAACACGCAAGCCCAATTCTAGCTCATACTTTACAAATTGAGGGGGAATTTTCTAGATCATGAGCAAAAATGTGCTTGAATTCTGGATTGGATTCTTTCATTTTCCTACTATTACAAGTCATAGTACACACAAAAATAATTTTCAAAGTCAATCTGTGTTGTGTGATAGTTGCTCATTGACATACTACTCTCTTGTAGCATTTCTTTCAAAGTGTTTCATCAATCTTCTTTTGCTTCTGAATGTTGCAAAAGACTTTGATTTCTTTATTTCTTTCTTTTTCCATTAGTTTCTGACTTAGAAGAGTTCCTTGCAAGTTTCATAAATGCTTTAAATATCATCTTCTCTTCTCTGATCTAGCCTTCCATTGGACTTTGCTGTGTCATGGTGGGGGACTACCCACTGTTTTCCAAATTGTGCTCAGATGACAAGTTTATTGTGTTTGAAATGGTAATTGACAATGTTCAAGGCCTTATTCCATTCAAGTTTGATCTTCTTCTAACCAGCAGCTGCCCATCGAACAGTTTCTTCTTTTCTTCCCATCACAGCTAAAACCTTCTTGAAAGGACAGCATCATCTGACCCTCCCTTCTGTGTTTTGAATGACAAGAATACTAACAATGGTTCTTGGTATCAACTGTTTCTTCATGATAGAACAATTCTCTACAGCAATACCACTCCTCCAGCCTATCTAGTAATATGCTAGTACATAGAGGGGTTGTACTGGTGACTGTCCCTCCTGTTGCTGGAAAGGGCAAAGTAGACTCATCACCAGCATCAAAAAAGGAAGTACTGCTGGTACAAGAAATTTCAACCAAGGAGGAGGGGATATTAAGAAGTAGCAATAAAATTATCTACATGCAGATAGTAGTAGCATGTGGTTGAATTTGGGAAACCTTTTGTTGTGGGAGTAAATTCCTCAGCTTGGTCTTCTTATAGCAATGGATACTGGTACCACCAAGTGTGCAGTTTCTCCTTGCATGAGATCAATTACTGGACACAGTAAGAATTTTCTTCAAGTCCTTAGCTTTTTCCTGTTGCAGCAACCTCCCTGACCCCCCATTGTGGAAAAAGTTATAAATCCTACCGAACAAAATGTTGCTTCCCTTCAAATTTTCAAACAAGAAAACACAAAGCAGTCCCAATGAAACATATCAATGAACCACACTAGTGTAGTAGTATAAGTAGTACTAATACTACTGGCTGTCCTCTTGATGCACTATGTCAAGTGGCAGATCAATGTTCCTCTTGGAAGTGGCCATTTCTGATTTCATCTACTATGATATTTTCTTTGATAACATCAGCAGAAGGTTCCTTGATCAGTTGTGCAATCAGCAGGATGAAATCTAATTTATCTGATCTTGAGCAAAGGCAAGGTAAATTGGAATATCTTCACCAGGATTCAATCTTCATGAGTCCACCCAAAGGCCTCCCTCCTCCTGAGTGCACACATTCTTCTTTGGAAGAATACTGCAAGAACAAAGCCCAGAAGACCAGGAAAGTCATGGGATCTACTCCTAGTAGTATGTGCTGAATTTTCAAGTTAGTACTACTACTAGAAGTAGTATACCACTATGATGAATCAAATTTTAAGCTGAGAGTAATAGTAGTATCTAGTGACGAGTAGGCATTAGAACTGCTTGTGGTTGTTCAGAAAGCTTTATGGAAGAAGGAGTGACAATGCATAGTAGTAGAAATAGTAGTAGCAGGAGATTCCTCCCTCCTCTGCCTCATGGTGCCTACTAGTAGTAGTAGTGTCTATTTCTTCACCTGGGGAGGGAGGATCCCAGGAGCATCTCCTATGCTTTCTTTGTGTAGAAGAAGCAGGAAGCTATGAAATCTACTACTACTAGTAGTACTATCCCCCTCCTACTTGTACTAACTTATCCTTAATGAAAGGCATTGTTCTACTAGTAGTACTACTACTAGTACTACTAGTAGTAGGAGAGTTACCACCAGGAATGAAGAGGGAGTATGATCATGAAGATGAACAATATCAAGACATGCTGATAGGTTTAATGGTACTGAGGTGAAACTCATCATAGTAGTACTGTAGTAACTAGTAGTAGTAGTAGTAGTAGTAGTAGTAGTAGTAGTAGTAGTAGTAGTAGTAGTACAAGTAGTAGTAGTACAAGTACTACTAGATGCATGGTGGAATTACATTCATTTTTCAAGAAGAACAGTAAAATAGTACTTCCTTGTCCTCTGTCCCTGAATGATTGGTGTACCCTAACACATTTACTATTGGAATAAGCTCAATATTTAGGCAATTTGAGTGGTTCTTTTTTGTTCAACTGATCTTATTTCTTAATGCTATTTGAATATCATGCTGTGCCTTTTAAGGTCATAATTATCAAAAGATTGGAATAAGCCTACAAATAGAGCCCTTAAATTGTGTCATTTTGAAACTAGTAGCAATGGTTCAAGGGGCTCAAATGGTTGTTTTGATGTGCTGTTAGTTGCACATGTAGGGTATTTATAGTATTTCATAAGGCTATTATTCAAATTGCTGAGGAGAACTTTCTTGTATGATGGCCAGCACCATTTCTTGTTTGATAGAGGTGCACCGTACCATTGTCAAAATTGCATTTGCGGTCCAGTGGGATCGCGTGAGTCATGTATGTATGGTGTGTATGAATTGTAGATAAGTATCGTATGTACGTTTCGTATGAATGAATCATACCCACGGTCTGATATCCTACGGACAACACCAGTTAATAGCATGTGTAATTTTGTGTGCTGCTTAAATGTTTAATCTACCTGTTGTACAGAGTCATATTTTATTGGGGGTTAAATGCTGAAAATATTGAAGACTGTTAAGTAAATTAGCAGGGGACTTTCAAACAGCAGGGACAGCAAAATCAGAGTCACAGGAGTACGGGGGGGGGGGGGGGGGGGCACCATTGGTGCTGTGGGACAGAGGAAGTACGACAAAATCCATTTGAAATCCAACAAAATGGTATTCAGAATCACCAGCCAGCATTCAAAAATTAAAATAGTACTGCTTCCTCGTATTTTTTACAAAGTTGTGACGTTGGGTAGTTTTACGAGGGGGAGTACTACTAGGGATACTTCAAACGAGAACTGGAACTTTCAGCATGAAAATAATTGGAAATGTAACTTTTTTCGACGGCTGTTGTAAAATTATTAAAAATCATACCGTCCCCTAATATAAACTTACTTAGAACAACTTTTTTGGCCAGCAGCTCAAATTCACCAAAATAAACAGTAATTTCATTCCTTCAGCATGGGCGCTGGCAAAATAACTGGACCATTACGGTACGGCAGCTTCGGCAGCTCAAATTCACCAAAATAAACAGTATTTTCATTCCTTCAGCACGGGCGCTGGCAAAATAACTGGACCATTACGGTACGGCAGCTTCGGCAGCTCAAATTCACCAAAATAAACAGTATTTTCATTCGCTCCAGTCTTACGGCAGCTTCACTTGACCAAAATAAACAGTAATTTCAGCACAGGCTCCAKTCTTATAGGCTTGCTCACGGAATTACAGGGGATTTGCTGACCGGCTCCACTCTTACAGCAGCTCAAATTCACCAAAATAAACAGTAATTTCATTCCTTCAGCACGGCCGCTGGTGGCAAATAGTAAGTGCAAGTGCTGGACCCGTATGGCCAAATTACGGCAGCTCAAATTCACCAAAATAAACATTAATTTCATTCGCTCAGGGGCTCCAGTCTTCTTAAGTAAGTTTATATTAGGAGGGGACGGTATGATTTTTAATAATTTTACAATAGCCGTCGAAAAAAGTTACAGTTCCAATTATTTTCATGCTGAAAGTTCCAGTTCTCGTTTAAAACACCGTACTACTAGGAGGTAAAACTGAGAATAAAAAATCCTTCGGTGAATTTTTGGAAATTTAGACCCAAAATGGAATATTAGTTTTCGATGTTTCGCACACCCCTCTAAATTATGACCCTTGTACACAAGTAATGTACCGTACTTTACTTCTGGCTTCCTGACGTAGCAGTCGGAGTAGTCATTTGTCCAGTAGCTTAGAGTATCAGGAAATCCTTCGTTTCGTGACGTCTGTACCGGTATGTGTATTCATTGTGGCGGTTCTCTTTTTACTGTAACAACAAAATTAGTCCGCCAGACAGATTGAATCGGTAGATTAGCATATTCAAAAGTACGGGAAGTACAAGTGATAGTAAAAATTGAGTACATAAAGATTCATCATAAAAAGTTCTACCGGTACATACGTACCGTAGGGTACGGTACGGTAATATCCTAGAGCGTTCAGATCTTCCAATTACAGTACAACAACTTACGAGTATCGTACGTACTCAGTAGTGCCCTCGTATTTTCGCCGAAATTTGAACTAAAGTTGGATTAGCCATGCTAGTAGCGAGAGGAACCAGAGCATCGAATATGTTACTGACAATCGTAACTTCTACAATACTTCGAAGCAAGTCATAGATCTAGTAGAAACAAGCGATAGTCACTTCAACCGGTGAAATTGACACTGTCGCTCAGTCGTATCTAAAATTGTACAGAAGTATTTTCACTGTCAACCGCAATGTTCAGCGTCAGCAAGAACTTGTTTCATGCCGTGGTCGCAGCCACTGCAACTATCCATTCTGTGTTTGCCTCGCCCCTTCTCGAAAAGAGCATCATCAACGGAGTCGAGTCACAACCCGGCCAGTTTCCCTATTTTGTTTATTTTGGTGAAGGCTGCATTGGCTCATCTCATGGCGGGCCTAACAGCCCGCCTGCAGGATGCTCTGGCTCGCTCATTGCGCCCGATATCGTCCTAACCGCAGGCCATGGCGGGAACCTCACAAACGTCCTGATTTCAGTAGGTGCCACCAAGCAACATATGAGCGATGACAGCGGCGCCCAGATTCGCACGTGTGAAGAATGGGTCCGACATCCGGGATTCGGTGACTTCAACAACGATTTCGCTCTCTGTAAACTCAACGAAACCGCAATCATCGACGAATCATTTGTCAGGCTAGAACTGAACGACGATGCATCTTCCCCGCCCGATGGAACCGACCTCATTGCCATGGGACTAGGGGTGATCGACAATGACTTGAATTTTGCGAAGGTTCTGCGCAATGTCACTATTCCAACAAGAAGCCTTGAGACCTGCCAAAATGTTTATGAAAAATATATCGAGATTCTTCCCGAAACGATGCTGTGTCTCGAATACAACACCGGCACCAATATGGCAACCTGTTTCGCCGATAACGGTGCTCCAGTTGTAAAACGAGTCTATCAGGGTGACGGAAGCTTTGTTGACATCCATTACGGCCTTGCCAGCTTGGGCTTACACAGTGATGTGAGTGTGTGCAGCGATGATATTCTAGCCCGAACCAGTGGGGCCATTGATTGGATCAAGTCCACGTCGTGCGACACGCTGAACAGCGTTGGTTCCTTTTGCAAGAAAAAAACTCCAAAGAAGACAAAAGCTCCTAAGCACACAAAAGCTTCCAAGCGCACAAAAGCTCCGAAACGATCATAACATTTCGGCAAGAGTCTTCATGGAGGAGAAAGTCTTTGAGGTGCGCAAAATGGTTGTCAAGAAGGAGGAGTGTTCGTGAGACCTCAAAGGTCGGTCTAAATTTTGTAAATTGTGAATTAAGTGTTATTTGTACGAGTGTTACGAATAGATAGGTGGAGCTGATCGTTCCAGACAGCTCGTTGAGCAGCTGCCGCTAATTATAAGGTGCTGGCAACGAAGACAGCAAGATGAATGCAAACTACTTTTTAGATTGTTTGAAAGCGTTTTGGAAATGAAAAAACCAATTCTTTGACTGAGTTATATTCTATTCGATAGTCGGCGGATTACCAGAATTTGGTTCTTTCTAGAGCGTTCCGAGATTGTCTAATTGTGTTGTAAAAAGTACGGTCCCGCTGTGATACCGTACAACCATATCGAAGCATTGGTAAGCCAGAATCCATTCTTTAATGTAATGTGAACGAGGGAAAAAGACTACACCTTCAGTTGAGATCACTTGTAGCATAAGTGTGTGATTGACGTTTTTGGATTCGACAAATGAGTCTCGTGATTGCTTCGTTCCAACAGACAACACCCCCTTCTGTATAAATTTCAATGAGCTACTCCCACGTTTCCGTTATCGCATCATGTGACTTCGATTCGATTGCGTGTTGTGCAATGTGGACTCAATTGATCAAAACAAACTACCTAACCAATCCAGGAACGGCCGTTCATTCCCTACGATTAATCGTTCCGAGTGTCGTTCCGTCCAAGACAAGGCGAGCAACGGATGCTGCGAATTCATTGGGCCCGGGAAAGCGCCGCTTTCGCTCGACAGTGGGCCCGAGGCACGTGTTGCCTAACCTTCCCTCCGTTCCCAGAGCAATGGGCAGAGGGCAGTCAGTGGAAACAACATCAACTGGATTTCTGGTAGCAACGACGGGTCCGTCTTCGATTACTTCGCGGGATGATGTCCCTCTGCTGCTGATGCTTCTATTTACGGATAGCTCTTTCCTAACAATGGTGTCAAATCCTTGGCTCTTGTTGGTTGTTTCGTCTGGCGATGCGGTGCTTCCCACACCGATGGCGTGGACGGCTATCGGTGCCAAGAGATCGTTCGAAATTGCCGCGCTGTCCTCCAGAGCAAGGATTCGGCTGTAGGGAAGTGCCTTTGGGGCAGAATCGATGCTTTCGCGAAGTGAGGCAGATTCCGACGAGGGAACGAATTCCATCGAAAGCCCGGCGCTCGGCACGGAGTGCGAGCGCATCTTCCCGGCTGCTCGATGGCCATTGCCGTCGACGAACAGTGCCATGGCGATCACCATAGCGAGCCCACACACAAGCAGCACGGTGCCGCCTGTTGTCCTCCACCACTGGGCTCGTTCGGGCGTGCTGCCTATGGTGGTCTTGGCGGTGCCAGCCCTCCTCCGGCGGGAAGGGCTGCTCGGTGGAGTGGAGGTGGCTTTGTTGTTGTCCCCTCCGAGGCACCCCCTCAGCCGATCCAGTTCGAAGTTGGCATCCAGGACCGATTCGCAAAGCTCCTGGCAACGGAGCTGATGGGTTGTCTTGACCGATTCCAGCTTTTCGTCCTGCACCGCCAGTTGGAATTGGTGCTTGCTCCTTTCGTTAGCGACCCGTACCATGCTTTCGGACTTTAGGCGATGCTCAAGCTCCGGCCGGGAGGCCCTGAGCTCGCAAAGTTCCTGTTTCGTGCGGGCCAGGCGTTCCTCGAGAAATCTGTTCGACTCCTCGACCTAGAACAACCATCAGGAATGGATTTTTTGCACAACGATTGAAACGAATGAAGTACACGGAAAAGACCGAAAGAGATGTGAAAAAACGAGCAAGAAGACGTTAGTTGAGACGAATGAAGCCTATTTCGATACTTCGATTGAATACGTCGCGGAACTACAACCCAATACGATGCAAAGCATTCCCCTCGCGAAATACATAATGCGTCACAGATGCATACATCCATTGTTTTTTCTATCGCACGTACCTGCTTTATGTCCAGGGCCCTCGAGTGGAGTTTCTTTGAGGCAACTTTGAGCTCCCGAGCAAGCTTGAGGAGCAAACGGTCCTCCCTCCGGTAGGCCTTTCGCTCTACAAGTTTCCGGGCCTTTGCGGCCTTGATGCGCTCGTTGAGGTCTTCGATGTGTCGGATTCGCGCCTCCCTAAGTTTTTGTTCCCTAGGCGTGGTGGCGGTGATGGTGTTGGTAGCTGATGGCGGCGGTAGATGGGAGCTGTTGCCTCGCGCGGAGGACGAAGACTGGCTAGACCCATCCGTGCTACCGTGCTTGGCGTGGAGGTTGCAGATGATGCGGTCCAGGGAACGGGTTTCCGTTGAATCGCTGCTGGTACTGGTGCTGCTCGAGTTGCTGTCATTGGTCCAGGTGGTGTGAACGGTCGATGGCGTGTTGCTGCTGTCGCTGTTGCTTTTGTTCTTGTCCGAAGAGGCTCCCCTGCGGTGATACGACGATGGCTTCAAGATTCCGCACGGGACTCCGCTCGTTTTCGTTGGGGTTTGGAGGATGCCCTTGTGGCGATTGCCGTTGCCGTTGCCACTGCCCCCTCTCGGTTCCTCCGAGTTCACGTTCGCGGTGATGTGGATCACCCTTGGAGGGGCGTCGTTCTGTCTTCCTTTCCGAAACAGGGCCATGATTGATTCGCAGCCGTAGTGTTTGTGTTTGTGTTGCGTTTCGATCCGATTTTATTGGACTGCGGTTCGAGCACTGGCTGTTTGGAATACTGTAGTGGATATACCTTACTTCCAAGCAGTCGACGTCGCTGCCTTCATGTGATGTATGCGGCAAAACGCGGTATCGTAGTATTATCGTACCCTTCAGTCTTTGGAGTGCGAAGTGGTAATGAAGGATGCTTCGGAACGGAACCTACGGTAACCGTTCTTTTTCAGGTTTGGGGTGCAGTGCAATGTCGTTTTCGGTTCAAACTTTCAATGGCAAGCAAAAGATACCGTAAGTACTCGTACGCGTACTCGTATTGCACCGCCGTGGTTGCTTTCTTCGGAGGGATCGGCGGTACGAGTATGCAGAAAATAACGCAGTGCGACATTAAATGCGATTTTTCCAGATACTTCGTTGTCAAACAGCACATCAAAAAAGTCGCACCTCATAATCCTCTGGCCAACAGCATGACAGTAAAGTGGTAGGAGTAGAAAATCTCGAGTACGAACTTTTGAATTTTCTGTGCTACGAAAATAATCCAATCACAAGCAAAGATTTGTATAACAGACGCTTGGAAGCGGTTTCTTTTGTGCAACAATTGTAGTTGAAATTGGTTTGTTTCTGTCGAATCTTTTCCGTTCGGGTATGTTTAGTTTTTAAAGTTCTGTGATGTACCGGTACATCTCGTTCAGTACATAACAGTGCAGATACCGTTATTGTCAATGCTTTGCTTGTCAAATCCCTAGCTCATCAGCACATACCGGTAGTACGGTAGATGGATCCGGAACACTGCTGATTCATTTGCACGCATCGGTGCCACCAGAGCTTGGATTGTGATTGGCCAGGTTCTAACTTGCGTCATTCGTTCATTTTCAAAACGAAGGTTCCGTCGTTCCGTCATTTGATTCGATGATTTGATTGCACGTTCGTACCGGTACGCTCTCTACTCTACCGCTTTCTTTTTTGGAATAGGCGCTGCGGGAAGGGCGCCGCATGCGACAATCCCGCCATCCGTAAAAATTTATGATATTTGGGCGAAAAAACATTCAAACCCTGCCATCGCATCGCCTCGCTCGCTTGGGAGGGGCACGGACGATTTCGTCGAAGCGAGCCGACGTTGCGGACTGACATGTTGTTCCTTGTCCGGAGCAAGTTTAATAGCTGACAGGAGTGTCAGTATCAGTGTCAGTGCTGTGATGATTGACAAGAATTACTCTCACAACTTGTGTTTTTTTATCCATAGAATTTGCCTTATGTATGATTATGTGAGTACAGCTGATTAATCATCATGATACTCTACCAGTCCAGTCTTGCAAACACACTGCGGCCTTAAAAGACGATCTACATAGATTATGCACTGTGGTTTTCTATGCTGCATGGTGGTGATAGTAAATATTTTAGTTATATTTTTGCATTTTCTTCTTTCTTTACTTGTCTGGTAGGAGAAAAGAACATACTTGGTGCTTGTTCCTTTTGTCCTAAATAGTGTGTGAGATCTGGTAGGAAATGTACATTGTTTTTTGGTGAGGATAGCAGTAGTACTGAAAGTACAACAACAACAACAACAACAACAACAACTACTACTACTACTACTACTACTACTACTACTACTACTACTACTACTAGTATTACTTTTTCTGGTGGTACTACTTCTGTTTTTCACATAGTAGTAGTACTACTGATATTTCAATTGATTCAGTATCAGTATCACTAACAGTATCACTATCACTAACAATATCAGTATCAGTATCACTAACAGTATCACTATCACTAGCAATATGATCAGTATCACTAGCAGTCGTATCACTGCTAGCAGTATCAGTATCAGTATCAATAGCAGTATCAGTATCACTAGTAGTATCACTAGCAGTATCACTATCACTAGCAGTATCATCACTTTCACTAGTAGCAGTATCATCACTTTCACTAGCACCAGTATCACTATCACTTTCACTAGCAGTATCACTAGCAGCCAGGACTAGTGCTAGCACTACAGCTAGCACTAGTACAGCTAGCAATTGTGAAAAATAGAATTAGCTTCAGAAAATGATATAGTAGTAGTTAACCAGTAGTAGATTTAGTACTGAAAGTACAACAACTACTAGTATTACTATTTCCACCAGTACTACTTCTGTTTTTCATATACTAGTAGTACTATTACTAATATAATATTTCAATATTAGTAGTTGGCTAGAGCCGGAGCTGGAGCTGGACCTGGAGCTGGAGCTGGACCTGGACCTGGACCTGGACCTGGATCTGGAGGTTGTGCTTGAGGTTGAGCTTGAGCATGAGCTTAAGTTTGAGCTTGAGCTTGAGCTTGAGCTTGAGCTTGAGCTTGAGCTTGAGCTTGAGCTTGAGCTTGAGCTTGAGCTTGAGCTTGAGCTTGAGCATGAGCATGAGCATGAGCTTGAGCTTGAGCTGGATGTAGTACTATTACTAATATTATTTCAATATTAGTAGTTGGCTAGAGCCGGAGCTGGAGCTGGATCTGGAGGTTGTGCTTGAGCTTGAGCTTGAGCTTGAGCATGAGCTTGAGTTTGAGTTTGAGTTTGAGCTTGAACTTGAGCTTGAGCTGGACATAAAGCTTAAGCTGGAGATAAAGCTTCTGCTTGAGGTAGGGGAAGATCCATAACTAGAGCTAGAGCTACAGCTAGATCCAGGAGTACAACTATGTGAAAAAATGAATTAGCTTGAGAAAATGAAGTAGTAGCAGTTAACAGTAGTAGATCTAGTACTGAAAGTACAACAACTACTAGTATTACTTTTTCTGGTACTACTTCTGTTTTTCACATAGTAGTAGTAGTACTGATATTTCAATTGATTCAGTATCAGTATCACTAACAATATCAGTATCAGTATCAGTATCAGTATCAGTATCAGTATCAGTATCAGTATCAGTATCAGTATCAGTATCAGTATCAGTATCAGTATCAGTATCAGTATCACTAGCAGTACTACTATTTTAGACAAACATAAAAAGATTCACTTCTTAGTTCCACATAGAACCAGATTAGCACTAATTTAGCAAGTTGCTGATATGGAGGACACTGATACTAGGAGTCATTTGAGTTGCTGATATAGAGGAGGATATGGGAACCACCATGTCAATTTCAATTTTGGGGGGAAATATGGATTCCTAGGAACCCCTTGTCCTCCTGGAGCTGGTCCTCAACATTTTGATTGGTTTTGATCACAAAAAAGTTGTGATCAAAAAACAAAATTTGTGATCATAGCATTGTTTCATTTTTATCGCAAATTCTGTCTGCAACATTGATGAGGAAGCTTTCAATGAATCCAAACATGAGACACTTCACAATGTATTTTATCCCTTCAGGCATATGATGCAAGCTTCACTTGGAGTTGGCAGTGACAATTGTTACAAGCTTCCTCACGTCACCAGAAAGGCAATGATGCTGCACAGGGAGTTGTCTCCAAGTTAATTGTTGGGACCACCTTGGAGGTGCAAACTGTACATTTATAGTGGGACAGAGGATGTAGTTTTCAATGTTCAAAAAATCTCAATATGATATTTAACCTCACATGGAAGAGGCACTAGCATATGCTGGTCAGAACCATAACTTTAGGGTGTGAAAAATGCTCCTAGCTGCTCTGAGCAGGGGTGGCAACTTCCACCAAGGAATAGTTGTGGAAGAACATCCAGGTTTCTTGTTTGTGGGCTGGGAAATTACTAATTGAAAAATTTGGTCATACTACTAGTACTAGTTTGGATGGTCTGGCTTGTAACAGCAGAGGCCAGGGGAGTCCCTGGAGGCAATGCAGATGTTTTCTGTTGTTTCTTCTTGTTGGAGTAGGTGTCAAAGACCATCATTATTACAAAGTAAAGCAATGTAAAGTACTAAGATTTCTATTATTCAGAAGGAAGGAGCATCAAAGATCAACAAGAGGAGCAAGAAGCACAACAAGAACAACAAGCAGCACAGACTATATAATACTAGTAGTAGTAGAGTAGTAGTAGTAGTAGTAGTAGTACTCATTTGCTGTGGATTTTCTGGTGATACTGCTGGGCTCTCCAGTTACTGATACATAGTATTCGTTGTATTACTTGCAGTATTACTGCTACACATTGGTGTTGCTTTGTCATTCCTCCCTTGTTGTTGTCATTTGTTGGAAGATCCTGCAAAACAAATCTGTGAACTCCTCTTGTACCTAGTAAGCCATGGTGATATAGTTATATTGCATAGTACTACTATGTTTGTTGTTATATTACAAGACACTAGTAGAATTATGGTGCTTGTTGTATTAAGACTGGAATAATGGTTTAATTGTAGTATCAGCATAGTAAGAAGATAACAATTTTTACTGTGATTATATTGGTGTGTAGTTGCAAAACACCTGCTTATTCTTACTGGTTCTAGGATAGAGAATTGCTATCACTCTGCTGTGTACTTGGGGAAAGCTATCTATTGTGCCTACTGCTACCACAGCACAACTACGCAATTGGATGATGAGGGTTGATATTACTATTTCAAATCTAGTGACAATTGATTGTTGCACTTATAAATTGGTTCCCTTTGTTGATTAAATGATGTCATCATTAATTTTTCCAGTACAACAAATTCTACAGAGCTCTACTGACTGTTGCTCCACACCAATATTTTCAGAAAAATGATTTGTCTTCTAAGAAAGAAGTAGAATTGGTTCTATGCCACCAGAATATTTGAAAACTTCATCTGCAGATTTTGTACTTTGTTTTGTAGTACTTTGTTCTGCTGAGCTAAGGATGGCATCATTCACTTCTTAACAATAGAAACAATTTATTTGTGTGGCAATCAATTGTTACTAGTAGTAGATTCTTCATAGTAGTAATGGCAAAGAGCATTAGATAGTAATAGTAGTACTAGTGAAGAATGGTTTTTCAAAATGCTTATTCTTTTTTTAGAATGATCCCTACTACTACTAGTAGTATGTTTACTTTGAATGGGCTATGAAAGTTCATGTTCAGCAGTCTGGAGGTGCACCTCTGTCAATTTTAGGGTACAGTATGCAAGAAACACTGGTACTATGCCAGGGGAGTCGTTAAGAATCAATACAAAGGGAACAACAACAAGAACAAGATCACATTTTTTGCAGTACTACTACTAGTACTACTATGGCATGAGATCAGTTGAGAACAACACTGCAAGAAGAAACAGTTGGTTCCAATACTGCTAGTAGAAGAAGGAAGAGTTGTTCCATCCAATCTGCCTACCAATGCTGAGGTGTAGTAACAAGCACTACTAGTACTAGTACTAGTACTAGTGACTTGGTATTTTGTATTTTGTACGAGTACGTACGAGTTTTACATACCGTAGTACGTTTGATACGGTAGGTAGGTAGTCGACGACGGTTCGGTTGTTTCTGCTGTGTTGTTTGGTTTGGATTGATTGTGGATGATTCATTCGACTGGGTTGTGACATAAAGCTTGACTCACCCATCTGACATGCGTTTTTCCGTGTTGGACAGTGCGACGTCATGCTTCGTCATCGATGGGAGTGGGTACAACGCATTGCCTTTCTTCCTACCGGTATCGTTGTACAGCACAGTACGTACTCGTACTTGCGATAGAGACTACAGGATGCCTTTGCATCCCATCCTAGACTACACATAGCGGTAGTAAGAGTACAAATACGAGTACGAACGTAGCAGCCTTTCCATTCGATTTCTTGGATCCCTCGATTCGGTTCCGGTCTTTGTTCCTTCCACCCCGATTGCAAACAAGAATCCACAGCAGCATCGCCCACGGAAACGCGTACAACACAGAAAATAATCAAACACATCCGCCTGCAACCCCCATTCCACAGAAATCCAAACAAAACACACACAGAGAGAGAAAGACAAAGACACACACACACACACAGACACACGATGATGCTCCGAATCGGTATTTCACTCCTCGCCTTCCTCGCGGCATGGGCCCCGCTGTCGTCGGCCCTTTCTTGCCCCCCGCAGAAAACGTCGGCTGCCAACCACCAATCGTCGTCTCTGGCTTCCACACGCCGCTCCTTTGTCGGCGGGGCCGCAGCGGCCGCCGCGGGCCTCGTAACTTCGGGCCCGTCGTTCGCTTCCGAGCCGCCCTCTTCCACCGGGCTTCCTTCCAAGGGGGCCAGGGCTCCCTCCTTTGAGCTACCCAATTCACGCGGCACCGGTCTCGTTACGCTCGACGGCCTCGTCAAGAACTCCAAGTGGACCGTTCTCTATTTCTACCCGGGAGCCTTCACGTCCGGCTGTACCCTCGAAGCCCGTGGATTCCAGAAGGACCTGGAGGAGTACCGCAAGCTCAACGCGCAGATCGTAGGCGTCAGCGTCGACCCGGTCGAGAAGAACGCGCAGTTCTGTACCGAGGAGAAGCTCGACTTTTTCATGCTCTCCGACAAGGGCGGCATCGTCTCGAAAAAGTACGGAAGTGCCCTGTCCATCCCCGGGTTCGGGACCTTTTCGAACCGGCAGACCTACATCATCGACCCCAGCGGTGAGCTGCGGTGGATCTTTACGGACGTCGAGTCCAAGATCGCCCGGCACTCGTCCGAGGTCCTGGAGAAGCTGGCCGAGCTGGAGCGGGCCTAGTCGCAACAACAAATCACCAACACGGAACAAACAACGGAAAAGAGAAACAAAAACGAACGCTGGTGAAGTTGAAGAAGACGGGGATGCATTTTGTACCATTAGAAACGGAAGGTAGGAGTAATCTGCTATATCTCAAAGAAGGAAGACGAACAGATAGATTTCAAACATGTTGCAGGAGGAAACGAAACGACGCGTAGAAAGAAGAGAAGAGAAATGCGTTGAACGATTGTTTTAGGGAATGAGACGGAACGAAAGCAAATGGAAACATGGTGTTCTTTTGTTTCCTTTCTGGTGGAAAGAAAGTGCGTCAGTTTCGAGGCAATCCAATGTGATGCTAAGGTTCTAAGCCCCACTCTATAACTGTTTTCGATATTATATTGAAGCTGAAGAACCGGCTCGTAGCACCCTATAACTGCAACCAAAAGAAAGACCGAACAAATACTTCTAATTGATAACTACAAAATTCTTATTGATTGATATAACTCAACAGATGCATCCGATCAAGAATTGTTATGGATTGCTATTAAGACATTTATATATGTATATTTGTACAAACGAACTGATGCGAATGCAGAACACCGTGCACCAACATGGTCGGTGAAACAGCAATACCGCATCGTGGTGTGCCCTTTCGGTTGGGACGCGGTCTTGGCGTTCCGATGGTGTGGGCAATTGCTCATCTCTGGAGATGATCATTCCTTCACATCACCACGAGAGCAATTGTAGGTCGAACGCTTTCCTTTTCGTTGCCGTTGCATGTGCACTCGGTTGTCTTCGGATCATTCTGTTGAGCTATTGAAGAAAAAAACGGTCGATTAATTTCTTGTTGGGCGAACACGACCTCTCTCGGAGATATTGTTCCCCAAGACACAGGCACCACCAGAAGTTCCCCAAAGGCCACCGTTACCATACTTGCCCGGAAGGTACGCAACCTGATCCGTTCTATTGCTACCCTCTGGAACCGAATGGGTATCCCAAACCAAACCAAAACTACAACGCTCGTATCGGGCGACAACAGCGGGATTCGTGTGCGGCACAATAGAAGAATCAGCGGATGCACGTGTAGGTATATCGGTCACGTTACTACTGGTATGGTTCCTACCGTCGTGAAATCTCATTTCTCTCGTTAATGGTGTCCTAGAACCTCTTGTATGCCCAACACGGACGCTTTCGCTGTAGGGGGAGCTGACAGTAGCATTTTGCGCAGCTTTGCTATCCCTTTGTGGGGGACAATAACAATAGGAAAACACACTCGAAAGGTCTGGGTAATATCCCGGTGGAACGTCTTTGCCACAACCACCTTCTTTGATCTCACATTTGTGGCTGCCGTCTTCGCAACCAAAAAATTCCCTTGTGCACTCAAACTTTTTGAGACGACGTACAGCATTGTGATTTGGATTGGAAGGAGCGAATGAAGAACCAGATATGCTCGCTGTTGATGACAGTGACTCGGCAACACGTCCATCACTTCCCCCCCCCGTGCTGAAAAATGTGACATGCCCCACGGCGTGCCTAACAAATGATGCCAATGAAAAAATTGAATCGAGGGTAGATTCGAGCGAACTAATTGATGCAGTTTTTGCTTTAGAGGTGCCAACGATGGGGACTGAGGTTTCCGGTCTTCTAGCATTTCTTGGTGAGGACGACACTGTTACTGGTGAAGACTCGTACGGACTACGCAAGTAGATTCGTCCCTTTCCGATCTCTTCCTCATCGAGAACTCTTCGCTTCTTCTTCCCGTCCTTTGCTTTCCCGTCCTTTGCCTTCCCGTCCTTTGCCTTCCCGTCCTTTGCTTTCCCGTCCTTTGCCTTCCCGTCCTTTGCCTTCCCGTCCTTTGCTTTCCCGTCCTTTGCTTTCCCGTCCTTTGACTTTGTCGGAGGAGGTGTCGGCCACCGAGTAGGAGGCGGCGTTGGATGAGGTGTTGGACGAGGTGTTGGCGGTCGCGTGGGCGGCCTTGTTGGACGAGGTGTTGGAGGACGAGGTGTTGGCGGCGGCGTTGGATGAGGTGTTGGAGGGGGCGTTGGATGAGGTGTTGGCGGTCGCGTAGGCGGCCTTGTTGGAGG